TTTCTTAGATAGGGTTACGTAATCATCACTATACACGACTATCGACTACCTTCTTCCCTCATGTGCTATAAAATCAGAAAAAACTGCTAAAATCAAAACAATAGCTCCATAAAATTCCTTGGAATTGGAAGTATAGTTGAGGTGATTTTGAGAGAGTTGACATCAAGATTGGCGCCTCTATGTGACTTCACCAGTGGATAAAAAAACTTCTTTTTTTTTTTTTTTTTTTTTTTTTTTTTTTTTTTGTTNGAAAGTTGTCTATAACGTGTAGTAAGCATTGAAACTGACCTGTGATGTTCGTAGCAGTGATGATAGAGGTGTAATACCTCGTCTATTGCATAGACAATATGCAGGTGCATGAAGAGAAATGCAGAACAAGACAAGATGAGTTTCAACATGTACTTATAGAGCTCCTAGCTCAATTTGATCAGTGTTATTGTAGTATTTGAGCATGTATATTAGGTTTTATGCTTCAAAGTTGGTGCCTAAATCAATGCTGACACATATATCGTATTTTCAATTTCAAGGTTCTGCACACAAGCCTTGCATGTGCATATGGACCATAAATCTTCAATTAGGGTTTTCATCACGTATATGACGCTCTAGAAAGAATTAAAATACACAACTATGATGTATACGGTATAATTAGAATATACAACAGCAAATGGAATTTTTCTGATTTTTCATGCGAAAAACTTCAAAGTGTGATATAAAACCAAGGAAAATTGGTACAGACTTGTAATTAGCACCATAAATTTTTTTGGCATCAGAAGTACCGTAGATAAATATCTGGGTAGGCTGACGATTGATTTACTGAGTTACCTGACATACTTTTATGTGCGTTTTTAAGTTGATCCTGCATGTAGAGGAGGACTTTTCAAGGCAAGCATTCACTTTAAGTTAGACAAGTTGAGTGAGTTCTGAATCTAAATCTATGTTCTGCACGGTTCAAATATATTAGTAATAGACATTAGAAGATGTTCCCGACCAAAAAAAAAAAAAAAAAAAAAAAAAAAAAAAAAAAANAAAAAATCCTGAAAAGAAAATTTGAAAAAATTTTAGACGAGCGACGAGTACGTTGTATGCAGGAGTTGAGACTGACGAGGGATGTTATATACAGGCCATTATACAAATGGTTGATTCAGTTGATTGAGCTGTAACAAGCTAAGCAACACGCTTATTGCAATGCTTCAACCACTATTGTTTTAATTTCACCGAAATGATATTAATGAAAGCAAATTAATCCAACCCAAATGAACACCGAGGCAGTTCGTTTGTTCGCAAACTTGTCATGCACTTGTGAGTAGACACTAAGGCTTTCAAACTATGGTATAGGACTTTAGAAAGCGTCGAACAACAATTTCGTCCTATTCACAGAGCAAGGTAATGTCTTTGCTTTCTACATTATACTTAAATCCCATTGGAGGCGCGTCTCTTTCTCTGATATGATAATCAAAGACACATTCATAATTATTTATATTAAAGATATGTAGGCGTCGTTAGCGGTTTCAGGTCACAATTAAAATACCTCCTTAGCCTTCGTGGTGGCCAATTCAATTGCTTGTATGAGCTTAAGCAACGGAATGGCACAGTCGCCAGCAAAAATCGATATCGCTTTAACCGGCTATGCGCATCACTAGTGACGGAGATTCTCGACGTCATCGGCGCCTCCTCAGCCTCGCCACACAAATCGCCAGGAAGCACCGGTTCCTCGTTGTGAATAACCACACCAAAGTTCGCCAGCACCCTCCGTCTTGCACCGGCACCAATAACTCTTGATTAGTGTCCAAATTAGGCAGGCCGACAGCGCTCAGCACCACGCCCCGCTTGGTAGTCATTCTATGACGTACTACTCGAGTGACACTGGCGGCTTCCGACACGTATACTCGAGGAAGCCTAGTCAGCTGGAGAGCCCGAAAAATCAGCAAATAGCATAAATTGTACACCGAAAGCGTGATAGTTTGCTTGGAAAACACTTGAGGTAAGCGCAATGAGCTGTCTTCATGACTTGGGATAGGCGGTAAACGTCTATAACAGCTTCAATGTTTTCAACAGCGGTCTTTGCTTGGTCAAACTTAAATATTCCCTCATGATCGCGCTTCTTAATATGCTCTTTGAGGCAGGATTCAAGGGCAAAGATGAGACTGGGAGCCTCGTGGGTGTTGTCAGCTTCTTCAGCATAAATTCGGATTCCTGGCTGAATCTCTTGCATTGAGCTCGTTTCGTGGGTCGACGGAAATCTCCTTTTCCATGTGTTGATCTTCTTGGAGTGGTCTGGGTCGATCTGGTACCAAGCTTGACTAGGAATTAGTACAGTAGGGACGTGTTGACCAGTTGGAGGGTACATGACAGACATCTCAGTGTTGATGGTGCCCCGGTTGGAGTCATCTGAGGATGGCATTGCATTAGCATGCCAACATTGATTACATTCTAGAAACTTCTGTAGTCGAAGAACGACCGTATTTTTTCGAACTTCTTTCAATTTTGTATTTCTTAAGCATTCGTTATTAGAGTGTGATGAGAAGTCGTGACTATAGATCTTTCTAATAGTCAGACTATGTCATCGGGTACCTTATTGCTCTGCAAGATTGAGTGAAATTTGCCTATGAAATGTTTAGAAAGCCGTGCCACGCCCATAGGTGATGATCAGAATAATTTGTGAGATAATGAGGGCATCACTTGGGACCAATCAAAAGCCGAATGATGTCTAGACATCTTAGTTGGTTGTGTTTAGCAAATGAAGATTGGTCCTGGCGAGAGTCAAAGGCTTTGTGCAATGACGCATCAGACAGCTCTTATAAATATTGCCACACAACGAGGTGTCGGAAGGCAAACCAAAAACACAATGAGAAACTCTAGCAACTCGAATTGTCGTGAAATTCGTCTTCGTTCATTTTCGGAATACTCTCCATAGCTTGCCCTCATCGTTGGCGGCTGTTAGGTTTGAGAAGTAGATTCTGATTTATTTAGGATATAGTGAAAACTATTTAACTTCGGGAGGTGGGTCTCGTAAGTGATGCACCAAATACAAGCTACCCGATCTGAGGTACAGAACGCATGTACCATCAGGTTAGTTGGTGGTTTGCATGTGCATCGTTGACGAGGCCTAAGACAATCTTGGCGAAAAAGAGAGGACCAGACGGGGATACCCGAGGTTTTACCCGCTAGTCCCTAACAGCGGCGTTCAAGTGAAATATTATCAAATACAAAAAATTTGCTCCGCGGGAGGTTCGAACTCTCGACCTTCAGATAACTCATTTCAAGAATGAATATGAGACTGACGCTCTACCGACTGAGCTAGCGAAGCCAATGTGACATTATCGCATCATATGCAGCTACGAGATGAGTGATGATATACAATTTTTGGCTTTTGATGCCGTCCATTCTTGTAACAGAAGTAAAAATTGCCCAATGTTTTGAGATTTGCATTCTGTATAAAGTGAGTACGTTTTTAGTGCACTGGTACGTATAAGAGTTTCGTTTAAGCCCAGTTTTTAAGGTCTTCCATAGCGGTAAAGTCCATTCACGTTCTGACCTGAAATCAAAACAAGGCATTATTAGCACTGATACAGTTTAGTGAAGTCATGAGTTTTGCGCATTGAATATGCTAAATTTCACAATATCATCGTTGAGATTGTTAGTAATCAACGATAACTACATCGAGGAACTACATCAAATTACTTGATGAAACGAGATCGCTGAGGTCATACGTGTAATTTTATGCAAAACAGTTTGTGATAAGCGAGTCAATGAATTAAGTCTCGATGAATTCACGAACGTGGGGACCAAAGTGATCCATACTCAACAAGAAAGTGTCATGGCCGTAATTGCTAATATCAGTCCCAAGCTCATAATAGCGAACATCGCCCTCTCTTCGATTTTTCATAAGGACGTCTGCAATTTCTCTCTGTTGCCAGACAGGAAACAAAATATCAGATTCAACTCCCACAACTAGACAATTGGAGTCAGCTAACTTTTCCATTCCCTTGCGCAAATCCTCCAAAGACTCCTTTGGAGTTTCAATTTGCCGACCAACAGTTTCCTGGTACGGCTCACTAGGAATCGAAGTTGTATTAGATTTTTGCGAAAGATAATTTTCCTCAGCGTAATTACGCATTTTGTACGCTCTCATTCGATTCTTGTAACCCAAATCGAACATGTCCATGGCTTTGGACACATACAATAAAGAGTTGGCATCATACTCAAGAGAAAACTTTTCACCAGCATGGTCAAGGTAGGTTTCAACTAAAAAGTCTGGACAAAGCGCAGGTGGCTTCAGTTCATCAGCCCGTCCTCTCCCAAACCGATACTCCCATTCCGGTCCCAGCCTGTAGGTAACGGTAGCAATCTCGCGAGCAAGCTTCATACCTACATGAGGGGGAATATTATCGTAATAGAAACCTCGATTCCAGTTAGGATCTGACATTAACACCTGTCGCTGGCAATGGCGCAACGCAATCGAATAAGGATGCGATCTTGCACAACCCGAAATCGATACAATCTTGTTTACTTCATCGGGGAACTCCCAAGCAAATGCCAAAGATTGCATCCCTCCCATCGATGCACCAATCAGTGCATGAAGTTTTTTGACACCAAATACGTCACGTATAAGCTCTCTTTGCGCTCTCACCATGTCGTTCACGCTGAGAATAGGGAACCGAGTAGCGTAGTAATCGCCATCTGCGGGATCTTTGGACAGGGGACCCGTGCTACCATAGCAACCACCCAACACATTAGTGCACACAACAAAGTACTTATCAGTGTCAATGTACAGCCCAGGACCAATAAAGTTCTCCCACCAGCCTGGTTTAGGGTTATTCGGTTGGGATTTGGCGTGTGATGAAGCTGAAAGCCCTGTATGAATGAGAATCATGTTTGACCGGTCTGCATTCAAAGTCCCCCAAGTTTCGTAAGCAATGTCATAGTCGGGGAGGAATCCTCCATTGTCAAGAAATATCGGCTTACCGGAATGATATGTTTCAAAACCAGTGAGAACCTTCGAGTATGAAGGTTCCGGACCAGCTTCAAGAGAATTGACCCGATTGTTCGAGCAAGTATCGGGCGCGGCCTTTGAAAGTTCTTCAGTCTTGCGCTCGAGCTTGTCAAGGCATGGGAATAGCATTTGGGGGTTGGAGCTGGCTGCCCCCTTAGCGGTGGCCTTTCGTAACAACGGTGTCAGAGACCATTGTCGGATACTTCGACGAAACATCTCTCTTTTAGATAATGTCTGTACGATATTGTAAGCAGGATCGGCCCCTCGATTGCATTACACTTCGAATCCGGGGTTACCTCATCGCACGTGATGCCTTGCTTGACAGCTTTGCTAGCGATACCGTATATGGCAGATGATGTAGCGTCAATTGGATTTCTATCTTCAAACTACTGTTTGAATTACATCTTGGATTCTTACCAGTAGGTTTCACCTTTTCCACGGCTATTTACTTACCAAGTGGTAGTGCACATAGTATTTGCTTTCCGTCAACCATCTATGATCAAAGCCGGTCCCATACACATCAATGAGTACGTATTGGTATACGGTATTCTTGTGGGTATACTATTGATATGTGCCCCTTTTAACAGGTACAATGCTACCATAGCTTCGTCTCCAGTCATTCACTTTTTGTCGAAGATTTTCGTCAACTGGGGTTACACTTGGTGTGCGATCTTAATGGCGGCACTCGTTGGACTTAGTACACGCTTATGGTTATCATTTGCCGTCAATGGAATTATTGGATTTTGTACAAACTGGTGGTTTTTTGGTCCCCCTATCTTCGATCGAATCAATTCGGCTACAGGTGGCTATTGCGATGGCGACTCGCTGATCAAGGACACGTTTCGGTGTGCCCAAAGCGGAAACGTTTGGCTGAATGGATTGGATATTTCGAGCCATTGCTACCTTTTGGGACAGTATGTGATTCTCATATGCTTTGCCTTGGTCAACCTCAGGATATATCCAATTAGCGATTCCGAGTCGGCTACGTACAACCCCCTTCCACGCAATGGACAACAGATTTTGAGAGCGTTGGGATGGGTCTTAGGGACAATGTTTTTGGCGGAATACATCATAACTTGTGTGTTTTTTCATACATTTGCGGAACGCGTATTGGGACTTTTTTTCGGAGTTTTAGCGATTCAAGCGATAACGTTAACCACGCCGAAGTGAGCACTTTTGAGCATATTATTAATCGCTTCATGTAGGCTTTTTGCGCACAGATAAAAACCGCACGGAGAGTAAAGCATGAGCTTCGGCAGTGATGACTTGTTTGGATCGGCTCACCGTTGAAATCGACAACCTTCATTGTCCAACATGTGAAGCTCGAATTACTCAGTTGGCTGAGGGTATCACAGGGGCTACGCTTACATTCGAACAAGATAAGCTTATCATTTCAGCAGATTCTTTGGATGCGGTGGTTTCCAAATATGTCAAGAAGTTAGTCAGTCTGGGGTTTCTCGTATCATCTTGGGAGTATACTCGTAACGGCAACATTGTCAGTGCCCATGTTCAACCACTTGTTGAAGCGTCAGGAATTGCAAGTCGTTTAGGATGGAAGAGTTTGAAAAAACGTTGGTTTGATTATCAGCATGTGAAATATTGCAATCATTGCCAGCACAGTGACTCCGAGCTGCTAACTGTCACTTCTGATGAGTTACCGTCAAATGAATTGAGCGATGTTCGAGTTGTTTTCAGCATCACTGGGATGACTTGCGTGCTGTGCGTCAATGCTATTCATGAACAATTGCAACAGTTATTACCAGAAAGTTCAAGTATTGATGTGGACTTGTTGCTGAATCGAGCAGTCGTGATAATTTCCGACAGGGGTTTGACAAATAAAATCATTGACACTATTGAGGATATGGGTTTCGAAGCCAGAGTAGCAGAAATTGTATCTGTTTGTGAAGGTATGGAGTTTACTCGAAAAACTCATCGCTATGTCAATTTTAAGTTACATGGTGTAAGTTCTGAAGACGATGTGAAGGCGATTATTCAGTTAGTCTCATTATGGACTGGAGACATCGCTGTTGAGTATGCTGAATTAAGTGTTGACAAGCCATACTTACAAGTAACATACAAACCCTCGTCGCAATTAAATATACGAGGTCTCATAACGAGTTTATCCCCATACAAAGTGGAGTTAATTCGTCCTGAGTCGATGGATGAGGAGTTGAAAAATGTGGCATCTAAAGAGACCTCAGAGATTGTTAAACGGTTGAAGTTGACCGCAATTCTTGCAATTCCAACATTTGTTTTTAGCATGGTGACAATGTTTTTCATGACAGAAGATAATCCTGTGAGAAAATGGACTGAACACCCTTTGTGGGTAGGAAACATTCTGACTAATACTTGGATCTTATTCTTTCTTGCCACCCCCATTTTCTTCTGTGCTGATGATATGTTTCACCAGCGAGCTTTCAAGGAATTAAAACAGTTGTGGTTTTACAAAAATTCATGGAAGAAGAGATTTTTGAAGTTTGGCTCAATGGATTTGTTGATGAGCTTGGGTACCTCTGTTTCTTACTTTGCTCTGATAGGATTAATGATATTGCTGGGACAACAACCCCCTCATTCTAAAGGTTTTGAAATGACATATTTCGATTCAGTGGTATTTTTGACCTTCTTCGTATTGGTTGGAAGATACTTGGGGGCCGTCTCTCGCGTTATTGCAGCTGATTCTGTTGCAAATTTGGGAGAAGCTAAGTCTGTTGAGGCCGTTTTAGTGAAGGAAAACACCGAAGGTTTTGAGGAAAACGTGATAGAAGCCGTGTTGTTGGACGTGGACGACACCATTCGTGTTAGACCAGGGGAATTGCCTGCTGTGGATTGTGTAATAATCGAAGGCGTCTCAGAGTTCGACGAAAGTGCACTCACGGGTGAATCCAGACCTGTGCTCCATCAGTCAGGTCATCAGATATACGCAGGCTCGGTGAATTGTGGTACTAAGTCGGTCCTCGCAAAAATCAACACGATTCCTGGTCAGTCTTTGATTGATGACATTGTCATGACGGTGAGAAATGGACAATTGAACAAAGCTCCAATTGAGCGTACCGCAGACACGCTTACGGGTTATTTTGTTCCTTTGATCATACTTTTGGCGACTTTGACACTCGTCGTTTGGTTAGTCCTTGCCTACCTGGGTAATCTACCAGATCTGTATAGGGACAATGATATTGGTGGTTGGCTCGTATGGTCTCTCGAATTTCTGATTGCGGTATTTGTTATCGCCTGCCCATGTGGCATTGGCTTGGCGGCGCCGACTGCTCTTTACGTTGGCTCTGGACTTGCAGCCAAATATGGCATTCTCGCCAAAGGCGGTGGCCTGGCATTTCAAGATGGTGCTCAAACAAACGTCGTTTGTTTTGATAAGACGGGAACCTTGACCCATGGCAAGTTGGAAGTTACTGATTTTGTTGTGCATGACGATCAAGGTTGGCAGCTAATGTGGGATCTTGAAACGGCTTCAAATCACCCCATTGCTCTAGCACTCAGGAACCACATCAAAAAACTGCATCCAGTATCCCAAATGAATACAGTACCCGAACCTCAAGTGGAGGCAGGTAAGGGTGTTTTTGGAGCTGTTGTACCCCTAACTGCAGGAGAATGGCCCACCGATGCGATCCTTGGAAATGAAGCGTTCATGAATGAAAATGGAGTTCAGGTATCATCTCAGGATCGAGACTTGATTCACAAATGGAAATTGCAAGCTAAGCTGGTAGTCATGCTTGCGGCACGCCGATCTGACAAGTTTGAGCTCATTATAGCTACGGCATTGAGGGACAACATACGTGAAGAGGCACGAGATGTGATTCAAGCATTTGAAAATCGAGGAATTGAATGTTGGATGATTACAGGTGATAACTATGTGACCGCTCTGGTGATTGCTAATGAGTTGGGAATTTCAAATGTTATTGCTGATGTTCTACCTCATGAGAAGCAAGCTCAAGTGAAACAGCTTCAAGAGCGACCTAACCGCATGCTGGTGGTAGCCATGATTGGCGATGGGATCAACGACGCACCAGCTTTAACGCAAGCGAATGTTGGTGTTGCTTTGAGCCTGGGAACTGATTTGGCGATGACATCACTGGACTTCATCATTTTGAACAAGTCAACTCCACTTGTGGCATTTTACACATTGCTTGACATTTCTCGCATTGTATTCCGAAGAATTCGCTTCAACTTTGGTTGGGCTTTGGTCTACAATATTATTAGCATTCCGATTGCTGCTGGTTTATTTTATCCTTGGAAACATACACGATTGAACCCCGCGTGGGCGGCAGCTGCCATGGCATTGCTGAGCATTTCGGTTGTAATGTCGTCCCTCGCATTACGTATGTATCACCCCAAGAATATCTCCGAGATGGTGACACATGATTAGACTTACAATATTACGTTAGCATCATAAATTAGTTCGTAACAGGCTTGGTTTCGCCAAAAACACCCAGCTCAAACTTCACGACCATCACTGTGACGTTATCAGTGGTCAGAAGGTCCATCGCGAGTTGACATAACCTCTTTGCCACTGTCTGTACATCAAGTTGCTCCGCGAATTGATCAACGACGAATTGGCATGCCTTCAGATCCAGTATGACATCCCAGACACCATCACACGCTATTATCATGAACTCATCCTCGTCAGTGATTGTAGTTTGTGTAGTGAATGGCTTACCAATGACCAAGTCCTTCATGTAAGAGTCCCCAAGCAGTCGCGTCACCGCCAAAACCCCATTCACCCGGTTTTTCATGATGAGACCGCCTTGTTCCCTAATCCGATTTATTTCATTCACGTCCGTAGCCTTGTGATCGTACGATAATCGATAGGGCGTTCCACGTCGGCAGAGAACAATGCGAGAGTCACCCACATTGGACGTATAGAGCACCCGTCGGTGGTACGATTGGGGAACAAACTCGTAACTCGAATGCTTCTCTACTTGAGGCGTCAGCGATTGATCAATCAGAGGGTCAGTCTCCCATCTTAATACGGCCACAGCTGCCGTACAACCCAGAGATCCCAGGCCCTCTTTTTCAATTGAGTCATCTGCCTTGCTAAATGCTTGGTTTAACGACTCACGCAAATCATGCTTACCCATGAGCGGTGCCAGAGTGGTCTCATGAGAATTGATCTCCTTCTCCAACAATTGATGAAGATTGTTACCACACCACCTCGCTGTGTCCTTACCAGCATGCCCGTCGAAGATGGCGAAGTACCCCCAGTCGACACGTTCAGCAAAATTAGCAATGTAGGTGTGGACATCCTCCATCTTATTGCGGTAAGTGGAGTTTTTATTCTCGGCCACCCCAACCTTGAACGAAAGCCCACTGAAAGGGTCACTCATTTGTCTCTGAAGCAGGGTGGTGGGGCGCCGTAGGGATTTTTTTCTGAGTGCGATTTGGTTTTAAAGTTGGGCTATATCTGGAGTAAACTACATCAGAGAAAAATTGCAAGCTACTAAATTGGATTCATATAAACAATGTGAGGTTTATGTCATATAAGGTTTAGGCCAGCATTATCTGAAAATTGCCGTTGGTTTTTATACCTAATTTCATAGCTATACCCCTCATAGCTGGGTTGCAGTGTGGAATGTGATTACAGTCGAAGAAGTACTGGTGTACAAGAAGGCTTATCGAATCCTTAACAAGCTTAGAATCTAACACTCAAAACAGCTCACCTCATTCTAGTGTCACCTTAATCCTAGTGAGATTTTTCATTAATGAATAAATTATTATATGAAGCGATCGAACATGGTAGCGCCGCAACGTTAAGATTGAGTTGAATGCGGTCGAACTAATGGTGAACTAGCTAAACAGTGACACGGCGAAGCAGTTTCTCATGTAATTGATTGAACTATTCCCAAGAAGATTCGTTAGACATCAAGGTCACTACTTTCTACATGTTTCTTGAATACTGAGGCCTCGCGTCTAAGGCTCGGCTTGTGGTGTACAGCTATGTATTTTAAGAAGATATTGCTCAAATGTACCTTGTACACGTTTACACAATAATAGATGAAGCATTTGACGAAGGAAATACATCAATTCTTCCTATGTGTCGTATTTGGACCGTTTCCTCAAGGGTGGCGATTATGCGTGTATCACGATCGAGACAGATATCACGTGAAAATTTGGTATATGCAACTACTTCGAGATCAATGAGACAGAATGCGGCACAATCAACATGTTCACATTACTATCGATAAGCAACGGAATACTGAAAGTGATATTGACTGGAGCTAGTTACTTCGACTCATGGTAGCACAGTGCGCATCAAAATCTTTTGGAGTTGGCACCCTCAGCCACAGTAGGGGGTAAATTTTAAAAACACCACCGGGCTCACAACGACTTCGTTATATTAGGATACTCCACGCATCAGTGTCAGTACTCTCAAATGCCAGCCGCCCCCATACCTTACCAAGCTAAAAACGAGCCCGTTGAACTGTACGAAGACTACAATGGTGCTCACTTCAAAATTGTGAGATGGAAGCCGGACCTGCTGGTTCCTTACCTCGGCAAAGTTTTCTACGTGCACGGGTTCGGTGAGGATCTGATCGTTTACACCAGATTCTTTGACAACTTGGCTCTGAATGGGGTCGAAGTGTTCTTCTTCGGCCAACGTGGTGCTCAAGAGACGTCGCCGAAAGCCATTGGTAAGACTGACGAGTTCCATGTGTTTGACGACGTCGACCACTTCCTCAAGGGTGAGTTGGACGCTAGAACTGACCCGAACGAAAAGTTTATCATGATGGGGCACTCCATGGGTGGTGGCATTGTTCTCAACTATGGTATTCATGGCAAGTACAGGGATCAACTCAGAGGGATCGTTGCCTGTGGGCCCTTGGTTGAATTGCACCCGAAGTCGCAAGTGAATATTGTGGTACGTAAGTTGCAGCCTTTGATCAACAAGATCGCTCCCTGGCTTACCATCGACTCTGGATTGAACTTTGACCACATTACTCTGGATGACTCGTGGCGGAAGTGGCTCAAGGATTCAGACCCTGTGCTCGTGGGCACCATTAGGCAATACAACGATATGTTCGTTCGAGGGCTGGCATTACTTGATCCGGCCTACGTCGCCAAGTGGGACAAAAACATTCCTGTGTTGGTTGTCCATGGTACCGATGATTTCATTAACGATATTGAGGCGTCGAAGAAGTTTGACTCCTTATTACCTGCGCAAGTACAACATGAGCATTACCCTGCTGCTAAAGGCCGTCATTCTTTATTCATTGAAAAGCAAGAGATTTACGATGCAGTGTTTGACAAGGTGATCAAATTCATTGAGAACACAAAGAACAATTAGTAAGATTAATTTGTAATGTCCGTAATGTAAGTGTTTTTTTGGTATAAACGGTAGTTATTGTCCGGGAGTCCCCGAGTGAGGTCGGGCTTTCCAACCTGTATCACAGGAAAAAAGTTTATGCATTAATGCGACTATGGGGTTCACTGTTCAGCAGAAGATCGAGATTTGCCTTCATGCCGAAGCGAACCCTCAAATGACCCAGATGAACTTGGCTCAATGGGTCAGGCAGAATTATGGCCTTGCCCGTGCCCCTTGCCAGACCACGATTTCCCGGATTCTTTCGAGTAAGGCCGAGTTGATTGCGTCAATGACCCCTGATCTAAGGTTAGTGCGAAGAAGGAAGAGAACCAATCCAGTTCTCCGTCGAATTTTAACGGAATGGATGACTCAAGGGGTGTGGGAGAAACACCCTATGCCCACGGCGATCATTACCCTGGTGGCTAGTTCAATTTGGAATAGATTACCAGCGCAACTCAAGGAGGGCACAGGTGAGTTTAACGGGAAGTGGATCAACAATTTCGTCAAACGCTTGAATATTGACGTTGATGAGATGGATATGGGTTATCCACTCAATAAGGTTTGGGAACTTGAAGAAAAAGTGGAGTTGAAACAGTATCTCCAAAATCTAATTGCGCTAGAGGGATACCAGCCACAAGATATATTTTGCATCGAGGAATTTTCATTATTCTATTCATTACCGTTGGATCAAATATTTGATGTATCATCGATTGATCTCGGATTGAAACAAGCGGACGCTCCGGCAGAGAGATCATTAACAATCATGCTTAGCTGCAATTTAGACGGGCTGGAAAAGTTTGAGCCCTTAGTGGTTGGGAAATACGAAAAGTTTGACGTATTCAAACATCCAAGGTTTACCCTGGGAGCATATCAGTCAAATCGTCAAATTCTCAACAAAATCAATCAAGAATTTGGTATTCAATACTCCAGTAATGTCAACAAATGGATTACATCACTGATGTTCCACAAGTACTTGTTACTGTTACATCAAAAATTGAGAGCCGCCAATCGAAAAATTGTCATTATTCTAGATGATTCGAGTTCACACCGAATTATTAATCTCAAGTTCAGTCACATTCGGTTAATATATTTGAAAAACAACAGCAATTTGAAGTTTCCGAATTATGCTGATCACGGGGTCAAGTATGACTATCTTCCACTCAATTATGGAATTATTGAAGAGTTTCGCATAAGGTACCGCATCCAGCAGTATCAATGGATGATCAACATTCAGCAATCAAGATGCCACAATCGGCTTGAAGTTTTATCAGAGAAAGACTACAAGATTCCCCTTGTTAATGTGCTTGAATGGATTAGCTACGCCTGGAGTCAAGTTCAACCATCCAAAATTCAAACAGCTTGGCGTCGTACCCATTTGTTCCCCATGAACAATTGGTCCGCAAATCAAATAGCGACGCTTCCGGCTTATAATGACCTTACGGACGAGCAGTCAGGCTACCACACGTTAGTTCGACTAATCAGCCAACTCAACGTGGTGATACCGTGGGAGATTGACGAATTGGTCGGGTTGGTGAATGAAAGAGGGAAAGTTACTCTAATGTATTCATCTATTGAAGAAATCATTAATAGTTGTTTATCGGAGACTTTGGATTATGAGGAATTTCTTCAGATGGATGAACCGAATAATATGGAGTGGTTCTCCACAAATGATGTGATGGAAAAACCTCCAGTGAAGCGTCAGACTCTTGCCGATAGACAGTCATCGAATCATTCCTACACTCCGTCACTAAAATCAGCGTCAACAACACCCAGCTTTGAAGCTCCGGAAAAACCCCTAACCCCGGCGTCTCCATATGAGAATGTCCAGAGTTCAGTGTTGAAAGTGCTAGATCTAGCAAATGGAAACTACTTGAACCTTCGTCCGGAGACTATACTTGATTTGGAACAGGCTTTAGTTCGTCATGAGATGGCCTAATTTTTCACCATGTATTCCAATATAACAAAAATTCAAACCCCGAGAAAGGGCCACAATATGTACAAGTAGCCACGAAGCAATCAAATATGATAATGAACTGTTGAGAAATCATTCCTCGTCCAAGCCCAACTCGCGAGCCTTCTCTTCAAGTCTCTTTCTCTTCTCAGCTCTGGCTCTCTTGATTCTAGCAATCTCAGCTTGAATTTCGTGAGGTTCTTTGGGAACTTGGTTAAGGGTGGCGGGATCAGGCCAAAACCCGGGCAAGTTAAACTTCTTGTCAGTATCTAAACCAACGTAGTACATGATCAAGATTGGGGAAAGAAGGTAGAACCCGAACTGCTGTGTTAGTATTCAACATCAAATCAAAGCCCAAAAGTATGAAATCCGCACAACCATAATAATAGCTTTAGCGACAGAAACTTACCTTTGCAGTCTCCAACTGGGTTCGGGTGATTCCACCGATGAAGTTTCTATAGATTGACATAATGAATAAAGCTTATGTGAAGCGATCAAATTGCCTTCGCACCATGATTGCATCCTGCATCTTAGAGGTTTTCTACAAAGTGGCATGATCACGAGTTACTGTTAATAAGCACTGTACTATTATGATGGCTTGTCTATGTTAAAAGACGGTGTGATTCAGTCTAATCATTTGTATGATTTATGCAAGTCCTTATTTCACAGATCTGGCATTTTGCTTCGATCAACGCGCACGATTTCTATATCCCACGTCAACCATTCCATAGCGTCATGAATACGGAAACCATACAACTGGACCAGACACCGATGACGCTGGAATCTCAGCAACAACCCCAGCCAATGACATTTATGGAGCGAATCAGACAAAGTTCACACCCTTTGTGCCTCGTCATATACATGATACTAAGAGTGGCACCGATATTCATCTACATATTTGGGGGCCTTTTCATTGGCTTTATAACAAAAAAGAATCAATTCATTGTCACATTCATAACAATCATTTTGTTGGTGTGTGCTGATTTTTGGAACCTCAAAAATATTGCAGGGCGTTTGTTGGTAGGGCTTAGATGGTGGAATGAAACTATTCCTTTAGAGGGACATCCTGGCGAGTTCGAGAATGTTTGGGTATTTGAACTGGCAGATCCCCTGCGCTATATCAATCCTATCGACAGCTACATTTTCTGGTTGTTGATGTACGCGGTGCCAGCAGCTTGGGTCGTTTTGGCTATCATGGCTGTGTTGAAGCTTGAGTTCTTGTATTTGATTTTGGTGGCAGTGGCATTGTCATTGAGTTGCACTAATTGTATGGCTTTCACAAAATGTGACAAATTTGGTAAAGCCAACGTTGTGGCAAACAATGTCATGGGTTCGGTCTTCTCACAAGTAAGCGATGGAGTGCTTGGGAGATTCTGGAACAGACAATGAAAGGAGAAATCTTACGGAGATTATTACTGGTCAATATTTAATAATTGTCTCCGGTCGATAGGGAATCTACCCGCAGAGAAAGATGAATTTGAGAAAATTGGCCTTATAGGTGACTTGGCGAGATCCTATGTGCTAAACTACAAGTCTAAGATAGTTCTTTTCTGATAATATTCAATTAAATACAAACTCACCACATTTGGACATAGACACCATCTTGATGGCACATAGTCAATTGCACAGACTTCCTCGGCGGGTATGGTCTAGTATCCGTCAAATCAACGTGTTCGAACATTTGCAACAAACGAACGATGACATAAGACGCCTCAGTGAGGGCGAACTGTTGACCCAAACAGATACGAGGCCCACCGTTGAAAGGGACGTAGGCCCATCCGAGCTTGTTGTTGTCAGCCCATCTTTCAGGGCGAAATTCAAGAGAGTCCTTCCCGTAGTACTCTTCTAAACGGTGAGTACAGTATACAGAGTAGGCGACGGTAGTACCTTTACCAACGTACACAGGCTTGTCACCATTCTTACCACCACCAGTGGGTAAGGTGGTGTCTTTTTGAGCGACTCTGAAATTCACAGGCACACTGGGGTAAAGACGCAAAACCTCATTTAATACCCACTTCAAGTACTCGCACTTCTTCAAAGATTCAAAAGTAATTTCTTGCAAATCAACATTGTCACCTTTGCCGAAGTGGGTGTAGATTTCTTCCTTGAGCTTTTCCAAAACCTGCTTATTGCGCCCAAGTTCAAAGAAAGTGAAACTCAAAAGACCTGCAGTTGTGTCACGCCCGGCGACCATGATGTTCAAAAGCTGATCCTGGATAACTTTAGGGTCACGAGTTTTCTTGGCCAATTCGTAAAGGAATGTGTAGCCACCCTTCAGCTTTTCTTCGAGTTCTTCTGGAGTAGCCTCGAGTGCCTTTTTCACGTAGTATTTGGTGAAACGGTGTACAGCTTCAACACATTGACGGAATTCAGCATTGTTGACAAAGAAGTAAAACATTTGAGTGTACGATCTAGACGCCAAGTACATTTGCGCAAGGTTGAAAGCTTCAGCAAATTCATCCCGGCCATCAAAGTCAACTTTTGGCTTTTCACCAATGGTCAGATCATAAAGAGTGTTTACCGAGTCGCCAAACAAAAATTCAGTAGCAGTGTCCATAGTGAGTCTGAAGAACAATTCTTGAATATCGAAAGTCTTGCCTTGTTGGTTCCGAACGTGTCTAGCAAACACTTGAATGTGAGGCTCGAGCGAGCGAACGTGGGCGACTTGTTCTCTGGCGAATTGGGGTCTCAACATTTGTCTCGAATGCTTCCATCCAGCGCCATCTAAAGTGAAAATCCCATCACCCAACAATGGATCAAAGTGGGCATGACGAGTTCCAAGGGCAAAGTCGTTGAATTGGGTGGCCAACACAGCCTTGATGTTTTCGGGATCATCAGTACAAACAATGGGGACACCGAACAAGGTGAGAAGGAAGGTCTCACATCCAAGAGCTTCGAAAATTTCGTAGATGAAATCAACAAGATAGCCTTGGTTCTTGGATTTCACCAATTTAAGGATGAACGGCACGGAGAACATACCAGTATGTTGCAAGACCTTGGGATCTTCACATCCATGCTTCTTGGAGTAAACATACTTCTTGATGCTTAATGCCGTCCAAACAGTAGCGTAAAGAAGAACCAACACTAATAAACTTCTCCCCCCAATTTTGAGGAAATCATCAAAATTAACCATTGCGACCAATTAATCGATGACACCAACGGTTTTCTTGTCCCTTAAATGGAAACTGTGTTCGGAGTTTATCTTTTCGCATATGGGTCCGATTCACATGAACTCCGACGGTGGGGGAGTTATTTTTTCCTAAACTCACATGCGCGAATCTATAAGGCACTCGTCGCACCCTGCAAGTTACCCCCCTTACTACAGCAAAAGAGACTCTTTGGGAATTAGACGTAAACTAACTCTTGTCAATGCCTCGAGATTCCGATTTTTACTGGTACATTTGGCGTATGTAAATGGCGTTTCCAATCTGTTATTTTTCTGTCTGGGTAACGACGTACACAAATGCCTTACTACCCCTCATTAAGGAGGCGAACATGACCCTTGCTAACGAATCCGTTAAATGCGTATGGCGCGCACCCGTCACCAATGGCAAATGTGCAAACTCCGACGCCGCATATGGCGGAGGAGCATGAGTTAAATGCGGGGCACATATAAATTTCGTGGCGACATGTGGGAGAATCGATGGTGTGAGCATGCATCAGTGTTTGTCTACAAATATCATTGACTCAGTATTTGGGCGGTTTCGATTTAGCGAATCCTGAATCATATGCTATCTTATCGTCAAGGAGAGAATCATGCTAAGTTCGGAAAAATTACACATTGTGAATTAATCAGGGCTCCTTTCAGTCTCAATCGGTTATTACCGACGTTACATACGTTTCACCGGCGGTGAGACAAGTAGGCAAGTTTTTTGCGAAGTGCAGTGTAGGCGGGAACCGTGCTGTTAGCGACGTCCAAAGTGTAATGCATAGTCAATTCAGTTGTTGGAGAAGACGAATGTATTACGTCCACGCCAATCAAACGAGTTAAATCCGCCTCTTTGATTTCACGTTCTCCGTCGACACCGATCAATCTAATTTCCCGGTAGGTGCGTGAAGCCTTTTCCGCTTGTTTGTACAAGATGTTGAGAACGAGTTGATGTAGCACGAGGTTCAAAGCATTCTTCTTTGTGAAGTTTATAACCGCATGATTAAGCCCCTGAACTGATATCAGCGCTGGCATGCGCTTCAAGATGTCCAACGGATCATAGTACTCTCTAGTTTGATCATCAGCTCCTTCGATGAGTGCTTTAATGAAGGATGGCCGTCCGCCATCACGCTCGTCTACTGAAGCGGTTAGAAGCAAATTCCAGCATTCACGATCCTGCTGTTGCTTAGCGAAGTCAAGTGCCATTTTCGGATCGTTAAGATCGGAGATAATCAAATGCATCGCCTGCTTAGAATTCCCCACTTTGCCTAATAGGTAGACTTGCTCTTCAACATAGCCAGCCTGCTCACATAACTTTAGCGCGAAGTCAAGATCATAATTCGCGTCATGCTTAGTAAGAAATGGTAAAAGTAAAGACCGCCTGAATTCAACAAGCATCTTTACCATATCATTGCCGAATTTTGATGCAGTATATTCGTCGACTGATTGAAGCTCTAGGAGATAGACAAATGTCAATACCAGCAAGTTGATGCTATTGAAGTACTGCACAAATCGAGCGGGATTGATCTCATGGCGATAATTCACAAGCATATTCATTACCGGAGCAAGTTTTGTTTCGATTTCATCGACAGGCACGGTGTGCAAAGCATCCGGATTATCGAATTTGAAACTCAACATTTTGGGAATGTAGTCAAAGTTCTGTTCGATAATGTGGTTATTGCAGATGAATTCAATTAGCTGGTCCAGGCGGTTTTTGATTAGATGGCTCACAGCTTTCTCCGGTTGTTGCAGCCAAACGTAAAGTTGAACCAAGCCTTGTCTTAACTCCGGTGATTCTTTGTCTTCCAAAATCTCCTCCAACTCAGAAATCACCACATGAATGTCGTATAGATTATGATCCCACATATTCAATAACGTCAAAAACGTTGTCACATCGTCTTCATGCATCCAGTGACTCATAATTTTGGTATAAACCTCCTGGCGAATTGCCAACTTTGGTGTCGTAGGTATCACTTGGGTAAGCTCTTCGTAGTGGTTAGTTTTGATAGCGATACTCAGCCATTCTTCCCATTGGTTCACAACTTCTCCCACATATGCATCGTCATTTGCAACGGCGGTTGATGCTATGGTACTTTTATCATCGCGCACAACTAATCGACTCTCATCCACATCCAATACTTTCCTCAAAAACTTCAACGCTTCTTTCCAATCTGATTTCACAAGGTTATCGACATGTTTGATTCCATAGTTGAGTCGACGAAGAGGAGGAATATTAAGGAAGGAGCTCAAGCGCCAGACCTCATCGTACCTGTCATGATCAATATACCATTGGAGCCTGTCCTCCAACTTGAACTCCTCAGCGTGAACCAAGTCGCGAGCGGAAATTATGAAATACCCGTCGTCACTTGAGGCAAGTTGATAATCATTGAGGCTCAAGTTGTTGATGTCTTTAAGACCAATCTCTTCTTCCCACTCCACTTCACCGGTGGCTGAGTTCACTAGTTGCAAGTCCGGATTCAGAAATACCCGCTTTCCATCCGAATTAATTGTGTGAGGAGTATAGGTGAGCAACAACCATTGATCATGTTTCGAAAATGATGCAATTCCAGCAATCAATGAGCTCATCTTGTATATATTCTCGAGTTCAACCAGGCGCTCGTTTGCTCCAGTGTTGGCTCTGAATGATACCGACAGAGGAATATATGAAGACACCGTTTCCGTTTTCTTGGCAGCTGTAATCCTCATGGACCAAACATAATTACCCCATGCAATTATGACGCGATCAGTTTCGGGAAAAGCCCACCGAGGCCAGTATTCATCCAGCCGAGGGGCATCGGCAGGTCGTTCGAAAACCTTGATAACTTGCCGCGTAATAATGTTGTAAGCGGTGATACCAACATCATTCATCCAAAATAGAACATCGTCAACGCAGAGGAGGCCAACAATTGGGCCATCACCCTCGTCAATAACAACGTCGGAACGTTTTCCTAACCAGTTTTTGGTTGAATATAAAATCTTACCACTTTTGCCCCCAGAAATAAAGCTTCGAGTTTGAGAAAAGTTCTTGTCAAGAACGACAGCGTGAACCGGACGCTGGAAATCGTAGGCTTGTATATCCTTTTCGTCTTTGATTGAGCCAATAACAACTGTGCCATCCATAGAAGCCGTTGCGAAGTAAGTCCCATCGGTGAAGACCAGCAAGACCGATGCTCGGTGGGCTCTGAACGTCCGCACCAATTGTAGGTTAGTTGTGTAGATCAGGATCACCCCTAGATGTGTGGCGAATATCATGTAATCATCGTGAAACGTACTGGCCGAAACATCGCTGAGTTTGAGAGATTTCGGCCGACTGTATTTAAGCAACGGAATGTCTTCCGTCTGTTCGTCGTCACTGTCGTCAGATTCATCATCGTCATCATAATCGTCATCATTGTTCTCAGCTTCGCCTTCGCTGACTCCGATTCCATTCTGACTCGCAGGCTCCACCTCAGTTTCCGTTATTGTTGTAGGGTTATTACCCGTCAGCAGAAATGCCAGAGTTTCTGAACCTGCTGTGAAGGATGGATCAAAATCACCCTTTTTTGGTCCTGTTGTGCCACGAGCTTCTGACTCCGGAGAATAGCGTTCGGAATGGGAATCATTGGCTCCCACACTTGCAGTACTCAAAGTGCTAATTGCCTCCTGGTTATCAACGGAGCTATGCAGACCATAATTATCCTTCGTTGGTGGACTATCTTGGGAATTACCCTCGGGAACTTCGAGAGTCTTTTTAGTCATGAGTTAGACTGTCAAGCGATCACACTACTAATACGTGCGAAAAGCATACTTCATCCTCGGTTAAGATCGAAACCCAGTCTACGATACTTAATGCTGAATAAGTGACTTAATTCAATAATCGATGATGAGAGTAGTACGGTTGTTCATGCTTACATCATTTTAACTCTAGTAACCAAATAAAGTATGAACGCTGAGCCGCACGCAATCTGTCAACTCTCCACCACTTGAGCGTGCGATGCTTAGAGCTACCAAAGGGGCGCTAGTGCAATGTGACCCATCTATCAGGGCATTGATATTGCAAATTGATGCCGAAAATCGAGGAGTTGTGCTTGAGGAATTGGACGATACCCACTTGTTGATTGCCACGGACCAGATTCCCTACGTGAAGAGTGAGTTGAACAAAAAGTTATCAAAGAATATTTACAACCCATTTGAAGAGGATGGAAATTGAAAGTGGCACCCGTCATTCTATTGATTACCTTCATATTGCTCATTAACTAGTTCGGTCAAGAACCCTCTCATCGTGTCAACTTCCATCAAGTCGTTGATAAGCAGCTTGTCAGTCAAATGACCTACTAAATAAGTATAGTAGTTTTCATACGTGACCACTAATAAATTCGTCAAGTTTGTCATCAAGTAATTCCGTACGAGAGGATCTGAAATGAACACAACCAACTGCTTATAGACATAAGGCACTTTCGTGATGAGGGCATGCTTGTAACTCGAGTTAACAGCTTTAGGATCCAGAGAATCCCGGCCACTGATTATAGGCTCACTTACAATATTAGATGCTTCCTTTATAAAATCGTTGACAGCATTGTTGAGCTCCATTTCGATTTCATGGTTTGCATCACTCATATTGTTAACAACTCGAGGCACAGACTTCTGAACCATTTCTATGAGTCCAGCGTTATTAAGACTAAACTGACCCTGGCGCAAGGTTTGCCATATATCAGTCAAACCCAGGGTGAAGTCGATGGAATAGTCGTTATGAACGATTCTAATGTCAAAATTGTTGACCTGCTCACGCAAGAGTAGCAAGTTCTTGAGATACAACAACTTTGCATCAAGGGCCCCAAGATGAGTAGTGGCCAAATTAATGAAATGCCCATTGAGAAGCTCAATACACGCATGGACAATATAATGGGCTATATCGTCAAAAACCGCATTGTTAATAAGTCCATAAATTGTCGTCAATAAAGTCAAGCCTTTCCCGAGCGGAAGGTAGAGCGACTCAAACAAGTTTTCCTTGAAGTCAACATCCAAAACATTCACCTCAGCTTGCGTCGATGAACTTCTCCTCCGACCAAGTTGTAAATCTTCAGCCTTCGGCTGATACTTCATAAGAATATTGTCGACATAAAGCTGAATGCGGAAAATTAGTCGAGCTTGTACTTCTTCAACAATAGACTTATAAAGGGCTCCGAAATTGACCTCTGTCGGGGATGCTTCACCTTCAAATTCATAATACTTTTGAAGGAGGGTTGCGAGTTGACAGAGCTCACTGATATTAGTCTCTTTAAGAATCATTCCTCTGATTGTGTCGTACAAGGTATCAAGCATTGTCCTGAGATAATGATAAAGCTGGTCCTGATCAGCATCAGCACCAAAGTACTTGAGGTAGATGTCAAGCTCCTTGATTACCAACCTGTTATAGTAGTTAAATAACTCTTGTACCTTTTGGACAACTGGTATGTCATCAGTCGCTGTGAATGGTGGTATTGTACGAATAAGTTTGAGACGAGTTTTGAAGAATTGATTGTTGACGTCCCAAAGCAATCCCTTGTATTCAGCATGCTCAGGGATACGCTTTTCAATTTCCTCAACCCAAGATCTGAATGTGTCATAATCGTAACTCATAAATTCCGCAAACACGAATAACTCCGGATTGGCTTTTTTGGATTTGGATGCTAACGAAACCACTTGATCTTGACGAGACTTTATCTCATCTACTAACCAATTCTTGATCAAGGTCATTGAGCGAGTCATGCATTGTCGAAATCGAGACTTGTAGATCTCGATATCTTTCAAATTGGGATGTTCGTTCAAAAACTTAATTGCATCATCGAGTACCGCCAAAATTTCGTTCCGAAATACATCACTCCGCAGAACAACTAGGCGGTAACCACTGCGATTCAAGTGCTTGGCAATAAAATCAAACTTTGTGAAGTGTTTTAAATAACCTGTCATTTGCTCGTATCGAGCTTTTTCCTCTGCTTGAATATCCAAGAGACGTTTCAGCCCTTGATCAAATTCTGCCGTCTCACTTGTCACTTGATAATACTTAATCTCCAATTTGGAGAGCTTCTCCAAAATGTTGTCCGATTCTGTAACGAGATCGTTAAGGGCATTGCTATTGATGTCGCAAGCCGTTGCAAAATTGAGTAGATGGTCCATTTGTTCGTCCTCAATGGCATTGATCGCCTCTTTCGATAGATAGGTCTGATAATTGTATTTTTGACCATGTTTCCTCCATATTGTATCCAGCGTTTTGCCATCTAATGGATCCAAATAAAGTTTATCACTGGTTTCCCATTCGGATGACTTGATGCTCAAGTCTATGAGACTTTTTGCTTTGCAGACGGATACCTGGTGGGATAGTTGTGGTTTGAGTGGTGGCTCGGGAGTGACGACCACATGATCTCCACTGGCTATTTCCTCCACAATTGACTGACGCCTGTTCCTCACCATTCGGATGTCGTGGCCAGTCGCGCGCAGTCTTAGAGGGAAACATTAGGGTATAATATGGTAACTCAACTTTTCTCAAACAAACATAAAAGTAACTCTTACCGAGGACCATGATAGTTGATAACTTATGCATCCTGGCAGTCGTATAAGACGTAAAGATTTCGATTTTCGTTTTGCCAGTTGTCATCACATATGAAAGAGTCTCTTTCTCTAGATCTATGGTTGATACTATCTCAAATTTTACTTCATCATAATCAAAAATCAATAAATACCCAATAAACCTTGTTCCACGAGATTGGCTTGAAGATTTTTTTTTTTTTTATCCTTAGTTGTGCATTGATATCTAACTTAAAAAACTTACATACTCCTTAGAGGAACTCAAGTGTTTGTAAAGCCTTCATTCACGATACCTTGCGATCTGAGAAAGCCGACAACGGCGAAAAACTCAGTATATGGAAGAGAATGTGGGGAGGCAGTTGTTCAGTAAACAGGTGACCGACGGCCCAAACCACGGGGAATTGAACCACGGTCTCTCCTCTCAGAGTGTACTAGCCAACTATACTATAGTTATAGGCGTCGTCACTTGCTTAAATGATATACTCCCTCTGGTCGAAGAGATGAAGTAGGGAGCCATAAGTCGCCCGCGGGGCGAGCGATATCTCAGCATTCCATTCAGTAATGTGGGGTTGTGTTCAGAATTTATGTTGTCCCTTACCCGTCATAATGTATCTCCGGTTGCGCTGGATCCACGATTGTAGGCTAGCTTCTGTCTGGATGACAGGAGCTGACGCCGATAGTCGTGTTTCCTTGAAGAGGAGGAGTATCGCCCGCAAATAACGGGCTAACTCACTCAAGGCGTCCGAAGAAAGACGGTTGGGGGGCAACATGTCTGTGACATGTTGGTAGGGGAGGTCGGTTCGATTAATAAGGCGGTACATGCGCTTTGACACGGGACAGTCGCAGAGAAGATGTGGTTCCCCTCCGCCGTTGTCGCGAATCAGTCTGACGGCTCTGTGGAAGTGACGATCGTGGTCCGAAGAGTATACCAGTGGGAGGGTGGGGGCCCTGTCATGGGTAGTGACCGCACAGAGTGTGCACCCAGGGTAGTAAAAGGACTCATATTGGGACTCGTGGACATGGCTATAGGTGCGCCACATCCAGTTTGCAGTATATCCATGGTAAAACTGCCAGAGGATGGCCAGTTGCCATGGTTGCAGCGAGGTGAACTTCAGGAGGCATTTCCAAAATGTCCGCCAACTGATCTCAGCGGGTTGTCGTCCACGTGGAAAATGCTTTTTTGGCCACGCCGGGATATCAGTCCAGTCTTCTTTCATGCAAGCCTTCTTGTGGAGGCTGCGGAAGGAAGCTTCTGAAATGGGAGTCTCGGCGGAATCAAAACGGCTTCGAAGAAACCTCTGTGGGTACTCAGACGTGGGGCCCCGGTTGCCGATGCGAGGGAGTGTTTCCACCTTTGTCTCGACGACAGCGAACCAGGCCTCGAGCCACTGCTCTTCGCGGTACTCAAAGTACGACAAGCGACGCATGCGTTCAAAGGCCCTCCTATCAAGAAGGAAGTCGAAACATGCGGTGTCGCCGTAAAAGATTCGAGTTGCAAAATAATTGTAAACCGTATGCTTTCAATGGAGTAACAATTTCGTAAATAGCTTCGCTAGCTCAGTCGGTAGAGCGTCAGTCTCATATTCACTACGTGGATGGGATATCTGAAGGTCGAGAGTTCGAACCTCCCGCGGAGCATTTTATTTTTGAATCTACCAGCCAAGACTTAGTCAGTCTAACAGACAACGAGCGTTGCTTGCCGAAGACTGGTGCCGGAGGCATCACCGACATCGGGTAATGGTCAATAGAAACATTGACTTACCCTACATTTTAGCTTGTCTCGGCTTTTAATTACTGCTAAATTACTCTGAATACACATCAACTTAAGCAGGCTAATCCTCCTTGACTCATATTCTGGCCGACATAGAAGTCCCCAAATTCATACGTGACCTCGCCCATAATCACTAATATAGAATGTGCAGATCCGAGTTGTGCTTGTATTCAAACATAGTACTAATACAATAATAATGAAAAGCTAAAAGATGTCAATGGTAACTCATTGCGGGTAACCTTGAGAAGGGTATCCCTGAGGAGGATACCCCTGAGGAGGATACGCCTTCTGGTATTGACCTGGAGGGGCTTGCTGCATTCGCGGTTGCCCCATAGAGACTGGCCCATTCCCGCGCGGAACACCTCCCTGAGCGTAGCCTTGTGGCTGTCCAACAGGAGAGTACTGACCCATTTGATGCGCAGCCTTAGGCATCATATTCCGTTGACCAGGCTTTTTCATTGGGTATGCTTGAGGAGCTCTCGCAGGAGCGCCAGCCACAGGTCGATCTTGAGGGTACTGCAGCTGCCCGTTCTGCGAGGGTTGATTGGAGGGGTATCCATTGCGAGCGTACTCTTGTTGATACTGTTGAGGATAGCCTTGCTGAGGGTAGCCCTGTTGAGGGTATCCCTGTTGAGGGTAGCCCTGAGGAGGATAACTCTGTTGGGATTTCTGTTGAGATGGGTAATTTTGAATTGGTTGGTTGTAATTTTGGGATGGAGTCGGTGTATAGGATTGAGCAGCGCCTTGAGCAGGGGGAATTCTTTGAGGCGCCTGTTTCTGAGGAGCGTATTGCAGAACAGATGGATATTGCGGATGAGTCGGTGATTGTGGTAAAGGCAGCGTAGAGGAGAAACTAGGTTGAGCCCTCTGTTGTGGCAGATTGAATTCAGCCGCAGGATAACTTTGAGTCGGCTGGGCGTATTGTGATTGCTGTCCTTGCGATACCTGAGTTTGAGATGGGGAGAAAGATGCCTGAACGGGAGCCAGCCTGGAATTTTGCTGCGGTGGTTGACTTGACTGAACATTTGACTTGGTTTGAGATTTTCCCGCTAAAGTAGCATTTGTCGGATGGCCCCAATTAGGACGATTTTGCAGGATATTCGGCAGCGTGATCCGAGGACTATGAGCGACTTGGGGCAGCGAAGCTGGAAGAGGCGCAGCCTTGCCATAGGTCGATTGCATGAACATTTTTTGTTGCTGAGGGCTGGCATTCTGTGAGTGAAGCGAACTACCCAGCAGCAACTTCCCTTGCTCCAGATGTACCGAAAGCTTACGATTGTCTGTTTCAATAGTACCGTACAGTACCAGGTTCACCTTCTCATGGCCACGCCCAGACTTATGAGGTGGGGGAGGAGGACGCTGGCTTTCATCATCACTGTCACTGAACCCAGAAAAGTTGGTGTGTGCCTGCGACAACTGCAGCGGTTGAACATTTTTGCCAAATTGCTCATTGAATTCGGTGTATTGCGTCATTGGTGATTGCACCAGAGAGTAACTCAGGTTCCGATGATTAACTTGTGGTAACTGAAGCTGCAGGTCCAGCCCGGGTCCCAGAGGAACATCCTCCGAGCTCTGAGAAGAAATTTGATCAGCATAGTCTGTAACCGGGTACATGTCTTGATAAACTGACAACTTGCGAATCTCTGCCGGTAAATTCTCATCATCAAAGTCTTCGTGAGAACCATTAAGGATTGTATTGCGATCAGCCTGAAATTGGTCCAGAGGAGCTTTGATCAGCAGATATTTAGCGTAAATATCAGCAAGCTGGACCAGTTTATGCGGATCATATGTATCCAAATTCGGTGAGTCCGGTTTGACACTCAAGTTTTCAGCATTGCGGGTAATTGAAGAGCGCTTAGGCGATTGCGCGGGAGACTTCTGAGGAGATGAGGACAAGTTGTAGTTCAGGGGACGTCCTGCTTTTGTAGGCAGTTGTCTCAAATGTTGGTTGCCTGGCATAGCTTGTGCACCTGTACCAGCCTGTGCATTTGGGGCAGAACGAGTATTTTGGCCGGCTTGCTTGAACAGGTTCGCCTGAGGCGTGGAGGGCGCTGTGCTGGGTGCACTCTTTTGCACGCCACAACCATCATAGCCTCGGTCAAGCTTGCCCTTCATGATCAGTTTAATGTTATCATTCCAGGTAGTAGCATCCCAACTCAAGAAGTCACCTCGTTGTGTAAGCCCCGTGACATCGTCCAATGTCAAGTAGTGAATGTGAGGCAAAGTGGGAAGACCAAACAAAAGTGATTCGGGGTCCACTCTATCGGCCTTCAATCTCTTAGGTCGACCATAGAGTCCAAACAGATCGAGCATCGGAATCAAGAATCTTATCAAAGTGTCATAACCGGGGACCAGTGAATGCTGTTCTGGCATGAGGAAAATCAGCGTAGTTTTGAAGTCCTCCAAAGTCTTCTTCAGAATCTTACTCAGCACCAGCGGCAGCTTGAAGTTTATACGACTTTCTAATTTGAGCATTGTACTATGATCAATCAACTTATGAGATTGAGGGTAGATCGCTGTGACCATTGTTGCCAGAATTACCACCGCTAACAATTGCTTCTTCTTCTTTTGATCGTTCTCGTAAAAGAGCACCCGTCCAGGGGTGAAGCTTTTGCGCTTCAAAGTACTTGGCTCAATGACGGCGTAGCATCGCTTCCATGCCATTCCCAGTCCGTACCGAATCAGTACCCAATCCTCATGATCAAAGCGTTTCTCGGCAAGAATCGTACGAATGTCCAGTAACATTCGGCCTCGCGACAGTAAAAGTGCCCCGGTATATGCTTGTTGCAACAGCGCATACTCATAGTTCAGAAGGCGAAGGGCCAGATACCACACGGTCAAATCCAGGTACAGCTTGAACTGTAAAAGGTACCGATTCTTGAGGGTCGTCAGCACAATAATAACATTGTCCAAGTTCTGCTTGGCTGCAGGGAGCACCTTCATGGCGTTGTATACTGAGTCAGTGAAGTTGATGTAGTTGGGTTTAGCCAGGGTTTCCAATAAACCATCTGGATTGTGGCGAAATTGAGCCAACGTGGCTGCGTCCCAGTACGCTAACTGGTTACCGGTCAATATACCGTACACTTCCCTCCACTCCCGATCGGCGGGTTTCCCGTCGCCATTCAAGTCATAGTATAACATAAAGATACCTTCATGATATCTTCGTTGGATTTGGCTCAGAATCAATGTGACGATCGGGATAAGCTCCGGACTAAGGTCCAGGTAGTCGCTCAGCATCGGCAGGATTGGCGGCATCAGCGACAGCAGATCTTTTCGGATCGGCTCCGGAACGTCCCCTTTGGGGGGACTCTTCGGTTTCGATTTCAGTTTGAAGGGGGACATGGCTGAGGCCGGGAAGGTGGTGGTCTCAGCGTGATTCAATGTCGCGAATAAATTTGTTCCGAAATCGGTGGGGATAAAGAGGTGCGCACGCCGTAAGCACAAACACGCGGCGTATGGTATAGTAACGGTCCACTGTAAAAAGCACTTGCTCGAGGGGCACCGGAAGTTATGCTAGCGTGGCTGACTTGCCAAATCGTGGAAACGAGGTCTTATATCTAATGTTCCGTATAGGGAGGGGAATACTGCCTCTGGATGTAGTCTGATCGCTAGTTATTTAGATCGCAAAATGTCGAGCACACGACTAAGACATTGTCGACATTTGTGGCGGAGGTAGTGCTGAAGGGATGAGAGATATCAAAACAAAAGTATACGCCAGTATTTAAGATCTGCAGGCAATGATCACCCCCTAGGCTAGTTTTGTCGCTGGGCGTTGGATGACTCGTCGACGCTAATTGTTTTGATTTACTTTTTTTGCCAAGCCCAGCCTTGCGGATGATGCCTCTCAGGGTCGTGGTTACCGCGTGCGACACCAAATTTAGTGGAGGCTGAATGTTTACCCTGGAAGGAGTGAACCTGGTTGAGATGCGCGGGTTTACGTGATGTGGCGGAGTTTCTTAGGGCTATGAGTTGTGCTGGTTTCCAGGGCCCGGAGAGAAAAATATGCCTTAGCACCACCAATCGCAGCTCCGCATATGTTTATGCATCATATACGTGTACTCTTCGCCGTCTGTAGATGTGTGAGCCGTATAAGCCAATCAAGAGTTTAAGGGGTCTGAGGTGAGAGGCTGTGTCAAAATCATCATTGGTAAGTGTGCATCTCGACTACGCACCAAGAGGGCTCGTGCTCGATCATGGCTATGGCTGGCTGATGACGTATGATTGCGTATATAGTTAATGTGTAAGCAATGCCGTGCTTCAATCATCTCAGGCGACAGCTGCCGACGTGTTGCGTTAAGGCGATGCTCACAAAGCATTCAACTTCGCCAATGCCTCCTCTAACTCACGCTTGGCTGTATCGGTATCCTCATAGTTCAATGCCGAAATAGCGAACTTGGCATGCTTTTGGATTGACGCCAACGCCTCGGTTCGGTCCACAATGGTCTGCACCGTCTCTTTCGTCACTGGTGGCGCCAGGGGTGCCGGCAGGGGAACAAACAGCGGTCGACGCTCAGCCTCTGGGCGTGAAGGTTTCGGAGACTCTCTGTGAATAACATGGATTGCCAGAGACTTCGGGGCGGGAATCTCTTCGTCCGGTAAATAGTCGGGAGCCAGGGGAAGATGGGGTGAGTTCTCACTTTCGTCGGGATTATTGCGTGGAGCTCCCGGTAATGAAATCGAGGGCTTAGATTCGTCGTTATCCTGAGGAGTGTCGGGTAATTTGAGATTGCCATCATCATTATCATCATTATCATCATCATCATTGTCAATGAATTTGGGAGGTTGTACACTTGACTTAGCAACAGTCTCATGCGAATCGTCAACTGTCAGATTTTCCGCTGGTGCTTCAGAGGCATCTTCAGGGGTTTTGTCAATCATTTGCTCCAACTCCTCCTCCATTTCGGCATCTTGCAGTTTGACCACCTTCATCAATTGAACTTTAAGAATCTTAATCTTCTTTCTGTTCATAGCATCAAATTCCGCTCCGGTATGGGCCTTTCCTCCCGAGATCTTCTCCCAATCGATTCCTTCATTATTAGTAAACACCAGTAGAATTGTCAAAAAGTTTATCGTGGCCCGGATTTTCGAAATCAAAGCAGCTTTGTTGGTGGTACCTTTATCTTGTACACACTGATTGAAGAGCTTGTAAGCAAACGAGACCACCGCTGTAAGACTCAATTGCTTGTTCCCTAGTATATCCTTGAGTTCTTCAGAGCTCTTTAAGGATTCCGTCTCATCCAACAAGGACACTGTGTACGCCTCCACTTCCTTTGACGTGGTGTGCAACTTGTTGTTCAAAATGTACTCAAGCACGTAGATAAGGCAGTAGTACGATACGGCAGGATTGACACCAGCAACCTCATTGGCTCGAGCAATGTATGGGGCGATATTTTTATCGGTTTGTAGGGAGGGTGGTAAGGATTCCATGGTAAGCCCTCCTGATATTGAGCGCGACCATTTAGCAAGTGCGGTGGTGAGTGACTCCACAATCAGCGTAAATTTATCATTATAAATTGAATGGAATCCAGAGGTGGCTATCTCAAATAATTTGGAATCACCTCATATATGATATAGAATTACGATCATGATCGACGTATGATATGTACAATGTATATTCAAGGGTGATTTCTTAAGTTCTATTTACTTCTTGTGATCGTGGAGCTCAGGCATTCTGAGGATCTCGCGATCTTTGTTGGTGGCATCCTCTTGCAACATCTTCAAGATCTTTGATTGCTGCCACTTCTCGGGCAAGGGGGTCACGTCGTAGTTCTTAGTAGCCCAGTAGTAGATATCCCAATCGGCTTCATCCAACAACTTATCGAACTCATCAAGCTCGGCCTCATTGAATTCGTGCAAGTACTTCTTGGCAAATCTGGACAATAACAAGTCAGATTCCAAGATCCCCCTCTTTCTCAGCTGGTAGATCAACCGAGCACGCTTGACATCAATGGTCTCACCCTTCCGTTCAATAGGCATGATCTTCAACTTGACTTCGGGATCGACAGGAGGGTTTTGGGGTTTCCCATAGTTCTTCATGGTCCGGGCAGACCGGGACAAGAGTCTTGTAGTGATCCTGGATGACATAGTTAGGAAATACAGAACCCCGCGATCACAATTTTTCTTCTGCGAAATGCTTCAGTCTGTTATTTTGGTGCATATCATAGTGAAGAAAATCCATGGAATTTTTCGTTTTATGTCATGTTGAATATCTTTGTAAGCTATACATATTTTTCTGCCAAGTTAGAAGCTTGGCCACATACTGATGGTCTCCATAGCCGTCACCGTCGCACGTCGCACGACTAATTTTTCGACGATCGGCAAACGGTTCGACCTCGAACGATGGACACTCCTCTTGAGACCACCCTTGGGGGCCGTTTAACGGCTTACCTCAATTCGAGTGAGGACTACCGGAAACAACGCCAACGACTCAATAAACAGTTGAAGCGGTTGCGCCATGAGCTCGGGCTTGTTGTTCGCGATACCAAGAACTACTCGAAGAAGGCGAAGACGAAGGAAATCTCTGCCGAGCAAGTGAAAACCAACGACAAATATGCTCTCTTGTTGTTGTTGACTGCTGAGCGTGACATGCTTTACGCTAACGAGGTCAAACTCCAGTTGGAGACAGCCGATAACCACGGTAACTACAAAACGCTCATGATTACGAAGATGAGACGTTCCATCAGTTACATCAAGCAATTGCTCGCCATTACTCCTCATGCAAACCCCAAGGAAGTGTTGCAATTATACGTGTATGCGGCTCTTGGCGAAGGTCAAGTGGCTATCACCAGAAGACAGTGGAAGAAAGCCGTGTATGCGTTTGCTGTGGCTCGAGTTAGTGTTGACTTTTTAATCAGTCAAAAGTTTTTGGACAATACGTTGTTATATGACATTATTGACACGATTATTGACCCCTCGCTCAACTTGGCTTTATCCAAGGATGGCGCAGAAGTGAAGGATTTGAAGTCCGCAAGCAGAAAGTATTGTCATTCGAATGTAATCCCTTATCTTGGTAAGGTTGTTGATATTGTCCACGGGTTGGACCCTTCTTTCGTGGCCGACTTGTCGTCGCAAGTGGAACTTATTGATTCGATTGAATGGCGTGGGCACCACGCGAAACTTTACAATGAAGAATTGGCTTACAAAATCATGAATCTTCAAAAACTCACTCAAACCACCGACTTGACAACGGTTGAGGCTTTTGACAGTCTCATCTCCGGTTGGGGTGATGCGGTTGACTTGCACAAAGAAGACACCGCCAAAAATCAAGATGAAGATGACAGTGAAAATGTTCAAAATCGGGCCATTCTCATGACTTACCTCAGATACAACTTGTTGTTCACCACCATCAAACGAGACTTGCTTCTTGTATCTCAGATTGAGTCTGAGGGGAAGCTCAAAGATTGTCACCGTGTGTCCCAAGGCATAATACAAGCCACCAAAAAGCTCGAAGATTTGCCCGGTGTATATAATGATGACGATCTTCACACCTCTTTACAACATCTTGAAGCTTATTTCAGTGCCAAGCTGAATGAACTTGTTGCCGATTGCTATCACAAGGCTCACAAATTCCCAGAGGCGCTCAAGATTCTTGCGAGCGTTTATGACCTGCTTGACATCGCCGACGAGGTTTATAAGGTTGAATTTCCTTATGGACTTACTACCAACGAAGAGTACGCTGCCTATAAACTCCAGTTACACTCCAAATTGGTTCAATGTCAATTGACTACCCAAATTGCACAACAGGGCCATGGCGGGATCATTGCAGAGGATATCAACATGGTCCCGAGTGTGATTACGGCCACGAATGTCATCAACATTTCAAAGAAGCCTCGCATCTATCCGATCCTTTCCAAACCGGTGTTATTCGATGTTGCCTTTAACTACATCAACATGGCTGGAAATGCAACTCTGACTCAGCCAACCGCCGAGCTTGCTGAAGAAACTCCCGAGGAAGAAAAGAAAAAGGGACTTTTTGGTTTCTTCGGTCGCCGTTAATACCGTATGTAGTCTAGCATGCTAACGTATAATTACAGAATACAATCTCTGTTTTTCACTTGCACAAGATCTAATAATTCTGATGACCTCGACATGAGGTCATTAAGATTGAGATGATCATTTTCAGTCTGTTTCAAATATTCTTTCTTCGATTTCGATGAATAGTCTAGGTCAGTCTGTTGCTCATATCCTTTGGCCGTTTTAAGAATGTCCGTGGCCTCTTTTGAACACGCGAAAATTTCTCTAAGACGCATATCGACTGGTGGTCTTTGTTTACGCGTCCTTGAAATATTGATCTAAAGAATCATGGGGTCAAAAACCACCCTTGCGGTGTGTGTTCTTGGCCTTTATGGACTGTTTCTTACTTGGCTGATTTTACAAGAACGTATCAACACGAAACCTTACGGGGTGACTGCAATGGGGGATCCAGTATACTTTAAGTCACCCATCATGATAAACATCGTCCAAGCAGCATTAGCTCTGTTTGTGGGTTTCATATATCTGATAACATACAAGAAGCAAAACCCACTCGCAGTGTTTTTCAATAATGACAAGCAGGACTCGTTGAAATTTTTGAAATCGTTTGTGCTTATCGCCCTTACCACATCACTTGCGGGGCCGCTTGGATACCAATCGCTCAAACATGTGGATTACTTGGCTTACTTACTTGCCAAGCTGTGCAAATTGATCCCAGTGATGGTGGTTCATTTGTTATTTTACGGGACTCGCTTTCCTATGTACAAATATTTCGTCGCTGTGACTGTGACGTTAGGCGTGGTAATGTTTACTTTGAACCACGGGAAACCTAGCAAAGGATCGAACAATGATGGTAACACTGCTTTGGGGTTAGCATACCTTGCGGCGTCAATGTTTTTGGACGGCTTAACTAACTCGACTCAAGATCAAATGTTCAAATCGAGCGCTGGTGTCAGAACAAAAGTCACCGGGGCAAACTTGATGTGCATCCTTAACTTCTTCGTGCTCGTGTTATCATTGGCATATGTATTTACTTTCCGCTTCGATGAAGTTCAGTACTTTGTGAATTTTTGTATTGAGTACCCTGCTGTTCTCAGAAACATTTTTGAATTTGGGGGTCTCGGCGCTTTGGGCCAGGTGTTTGTGTTTATTATTTTGGAACAGTTTGACTCGCTTATTCTCATCTCCGCTACGGTTACCCGAAAGATGCTTCTGATGATTCTTTCGGTGGTTTTCTTCAACCATTCGTTGACCACCGGTCAATGGGTCGGAGTAGGACTTGTGTTTGCCGGTATTGGCTATGAATCCTGGGTTAAAAGCCGGCAAAACGCCGCGGTTAAACCTAAACAAGCTTAGACATGGATTGTTTTCCTTTATTTATATCTTTAATTACATACAGGAAAATATGAGCTGGTAGCGAGAAACGTCAACCACTGCGCACACGAAGGCACACCCGTCAACCTGCACCATCAACATCTTTAGTTTGACGGCCACGGCATCTCCAAATGCTGATATTCATGCTTAACCGCACGGGGATCCGAAACTTTTGCTCACTGCTCGGTTCCCTTTTTCCTAAGGTGCTATGCAATGGTATCCTCGCTTGGTCATATTATGAGCTACTATTGATCACAAAGGAGTTTGATCTGAACCATTTGGCACGCGCCATAGACTTTATTGGTCTTGTGCTTGTGTCTTTGTGCATTTGGACCTATTTTTTAATCATTCGAGTGGGCGCTGGATCGCCACTTGATTTCCCTGAGCTCCTCATACCATACGAAGCTCTGGAAAACCCCCTTGTGAACGCCGACGACACAGATGATGAGTTGCCAAATCGAAGAAACAACATGGCCAACTTGGATCCTCCCGTTGAGTATGTGGACATGAAAACCTCACGACCGGGGAGTTATCGCTTTTGCAACAAGTGCCACGCTTGGAAGCCCGACAGAACCCATCACTGTCTGCAGCTGGGAAAATGTATCCTCAAGATGGATCATTACTGCCCATGGTTTTCCAGTTGTGTTGGTTATCGCAATCACAAGTTCTTCGTGCAAGAGCTAATGTACATTTCGGTTTACGCATGGTTTGTATTTTGGGTATGCTTTGCCGTGTTGTATAAAGTATTCCTGAGTGAAAATATTGAAGCTGAACACTTAACGATTGGTTTGCTCGTGTTGACGATCGTAGCGCTTGTGTTTGGCATTTGCGTAACCGTCTTCTGGGGATTTTCTGTTTACTTAGTCCTCATCAATCAGACCACGATCGAATTTCAAGACAAACGAACGGGGTATACAGATGGAGAATTCCGCTACGAATTTGATTCACAAGGAAAGAAAAAACTGGTCGGTAACATATGGGATTTGGGTAAGCGCAGAAATTGGGAACAGGTGATGGGGAAGTACCTCTACCAATGGTTGTTACCGGTATCGATTACGTCGACGCTGATCCGTGATACTCATAAGAATGGGCTCAACTTTGAGGTAAACGAGGACGTATACGCTAAATGGCAAAGCAATGTGGCCATGCAAGAACAATTGAACCAGCAGTTGATGGATTATCGGGACCGGCGGATTTCGGCTCGCGAGGCGTAAATGAGTGATGAGCAAGGCTTTGGTAAATACGTATAACCTACCACGCAGATAGATAAATAAACTTGTTTTATGGCTTTGAGTGATGACCTAGTCGCTCTTCATCCGTTGCCATATTCGATTTTGTTCTCTCTCCCCCTCATTCTTTTGCGTGATGGTTAATTGACGCGTGCCAGCAAATTTCAAGTCGACGATTCCCCGGGCGCCCCACTATCTTCTGCGAACTTGAAAAACAAAATCCACTCCGTCTATCCATGTACGTCCAGCTTCCATTCGACGAATTACGAGTGGATCTGACGCAGAAAAAGCGAATCGCTTACTTCTACGATGCTGATGTTGGCAATTATGCTTACGGTGCTGGGCACCCCATGAAACCTCATCGGATAAGAATGGCACATCTGTTGATCATGAATTACGGCTTATACAAGAAGATGGAAATCTACCGAGCCAAGCCGGCAACAAAGCAAGAGATGTGTCAGTTCCACACCGACGAATACATCGACTTTTTGTCGAGAGTCACTCCTGATAATTTGGACAACTTCGCTAAGGAGCAAATCAAGTTTAATGTCGGTGATGACTGTCCGGTTTTCGATGGGTTGTTCGAATACTGTGGTATCTCCGGTGGGGGGCTGATGGAAGGTGCTGCCAGATTAAACCGAGGTAAGTGTGACATTGCCATCAACTATGCTGGGGGGTTGCACCATGCCAAGAAGCTGGAAGCGCTGGGGTTCTGCTATCTTAATGATATTGTGTTGGGTATCATCGAGTTGTTGCGGTACCACCCTCGGGTTCTCTATATCGATATCGATGTTCATCATGGTGATGGTGTTGAAGAGGCCTTTTACACCACTGATCGAGTTATGACTTGCTCGTTCCACAAATACGGCGAGTTTTTCCCCGGTACTGGGGAGCTTCGAGATATTGGTGTTGGTAAAGGTAAATACCATGCGATCAACGTTCCGTTACGCGATGGTATCGACGACGCCACCTATAAGTCGATTTTCGAGCCGGTTATTTCTCATATCATCGAGTGGTATCAACCGCTGGCGATTGTGCTTCAGTGTGGGGGTGATTCGCTTTCAGGTGACCGGCTCGGGTGCTTCAACTTATCAATGCTGGGTCACGCGAACTGTGTTAATTTCGTAAAGCTGTTCAACATTCCCATGATGGTGGTTGGCGGTGGCGGGTATACCATGAGAAACGTTGCGAGAACCTGGGCATTCGAGTCCGGATTATTGAATAATGTGGTGTTGCCTCTGGAATTGCCCTACAACGAGTACTTTGAGTACTACGGACCAGACTACAAGTTGGATGTTCGTCCGTCGAACATGTACAATGCTAACTCACCGGAGTTCCTCAACAAAATCTTGACCAATATAATACAGAACTTGGAACACACCAAGCATGCGCCATCGGTGCAAATGCAAGATGTGCCGCGAGACCCCGAGGATTTGGGCGATGTTGATGAAGATACGGCCGAAGCGAAAGACACCAGAGGGGGGTCTCAGTTTGCTCGAGATCACGAAACAGAAAAACCGGGGGAATTGTATGACGACGATGATAAAGATAAAGGGGAGAAAAACATCACGATCACCGAAGCTGAGCAAATGGAGATCGACGAACTTAATCAAGAGGAGTAGATTTTAGATGAAATGCCATTAATGTTAAAAAACTCTTACGACATCGAATCTTGTAGCTCAACTATGACAAGAGCACCAAGTCAAAAATGTCAATTCTCCGCATTGAGAGGAATAGTATGGGCCTTCTACTTTCAATGCGGGTTTGTTAAAAATATTTTACTCAGACATAGTATAGAAATAACCAATTTTATTCACTCACCTCTACCATCAGCTGGCGCATCGTAAGCTGGTGCCTCGGCACGGCTCAATCGCACAAACGCTTCCCCGCAGTGTGGTCAAAATCAAGTGCGGGCGATGCTCCGTATCCACACCAGACTAATGCTGCTAAAACCGTGCTCAATCCTCAACAAAGCCAAGCGGCCTGACTATGTACCATGTCTGCACTCAAAGCTCCATAACATGATATGGCGTGAGCCATTGCAAAATGTGTACATGGTTAAGAAGCCTCAGCATCCCGAAGCAACTAAGGAAATGATATCGATGATGAGATACCTTCAAAATAATTACCCGGCGGTTAATGTGATGGTGCTCCATGACACCGCTCGCGAGCTCAGACAACTTGTACCTCACAATGACAAGCTCACCATCTATGAGGGGCTGAAGGAAGACATTGTCGATAAGGCTGACCTCGTTATCACCTTGGGTGGTGACGGGACAATTCTACATGCGGTGAATTTATATAGTACAGCATCGGTACCGCCAGTGTTATCGTTTTCTATGGGAACGCTTGGGTTTCTTCTTCCATTCAAAGTCGACAAGTTTGAGCAGACGTTTCTGATGGTGTACCAACTGCGAGCTAAAGTGCTTCATCGCAACCGGATCCAGTGTGAGATTGTTCGAGAGCTGGGTGGCAATGGGGTGAGAATTGAGCGACAGGTCGTGATGGCAATGAACGATATTAGTGTTCATCGCGGTAGTCAGCCGAACTTGACGGCGGTGGATATCTACCTTGACGACGAGTTTTTCACCACCACCATTGGCGATGGCATTGTTGCCGCCACCCCAACCGGGTCCACTGCCTACTCTCTTAGTGCCGGCGGGTCAATCGCCCACCCTGCCGTTAAGTGTATTTCGTTGACGCCAGTGTGTCCGCGCCTGTTGTCATTCCGCCCACTTGTGCTTCCGATGCTGGTGCGAGTCAAACTACAACTACTGAGTCGGCGAAACCGCAATGGCCGGATAAAACTCGCCATTGATGGGATGCAACACCGGGATCTCGAGCCTGGTGATCATGTCAATATTGAGCTGAGCACAGAAGATGGCATTTGGTGTGTGGCTAAATCGCAAAACGATTGGACGAAAGGCATTAACGAGATGCTAGGCTTTAACGCTGGATTTTCCAAACTCTAATAGCTTTACGACGGGGTCACCCCGTTGCATGGTGCTCACCCCCTAACTATAATGCGAAAAATGGCGTGGGTGACCCTTAAATGTGACGGTTTCGCGGGCACATAACGTCGACGTAGTCATCCAATTAGGGGGCTGTTTTGTGGTGCGAACGTTTGAGCTATATGCACTCCGATATAGCCGATGTTATACGAGTGGCGCTTGCCTAAAAGCGGGATTCATTCAGAGGACTTCAGGTACTCGACAAATTGTACATACAAGTCTAAACAATAACAACGCAATTTGGATTGAATAGTGGTAAATCAATCTAGAAGGTCAATTTTCCAAATTTATCTCGGTAACGCTTTTATCAAATTGCCGACATTCGGTCGATCTGGCTCTAGCCGCTATCTCGCTAATGGCTTGCTTGTTTTGAGCCCTGGCTGTTTGAGTTTTCGTGCTCGTGGCGGACACTCGCCCCGACTCAAAAAACCTAGATTTCAGGTAGCGAACGCAACTATCGACACTACATCGGCGGAGTTGCAGGCGCCTTTATCCGCGACATTAACAGGGGGTTCCGTGTACAACACTTAAGGTATCAAATAATTGTTACTAGTTTGTGGTTTTGATAGCCCTCGATTAGCCATAGGCCCAGGCCTCCTTACCTCACGACACGGCCGTATGGCACAAAATGCAAAAGAGGGGGTGTTTTGGGTTATGAGAATGGGGGTGCAGAAAAAAAGTGTGTGGAAATTTGCTAACAGTGCCCCGAAAGTTCCTCGAGAGATTCCACTTCGTCAAGCCATTGGCGCCATATGATTTTACCTCTCCTAAGTCGTAGACCAGTCGTTCTGTAGGCTACCCGAGTTTTATGGTAAACACTCCAAAACTTCACGCGCATATGCCGTTATTTTGCCGTTCCCTGCCTATATTTGCGACTCAAGGTCAACAACAGAAAAAATTCCTTCCTTTTCAGTGTCGTCGAGCTTGACCAAGTGAGCTTGAAAGGATGCACAAATTGAATGGCACAACAATGTATAGCCATCCCCTTGGACCTCAGCCTCCCCCTCCTCAAGCTCAACCCCCGCAGCCCGGCCCGCCGGCCGTAAGACCGCCCATGTCGCTGACGGCGTCGTTACTCTCGGAAACCACCGCTCTGACATGGGTGGCAATCGGGGTGTTGGCCGAACTGATTGGTGATTTGGACCGTGCAATTCTGGCGTTTGACTCTGCGTTACGCCATGTACCCAACAACTTCGAGGTGATTGTGAAGTTGGCAAATATTTATCGCCTGAAGGACGTGTTTTTCAAAGCAGCTGAGCTTTATGAACAAGCACTTAACTTTAACCAGGAGAATGGTGAAACCTGGGGTCTTTTGGGCCACTGTTACTTGATGCTTGATGACTTGCCTCGTGCCTACGCCGCATATCAGAGAGCGTTGCATTACTTGGACAACCCCAATGTCCCCAAGTTGTGGCACGGTATCGGTATCTTGTATGATCGTTACGGTTCGTTGGACTACGCCGAAGAAGCCTTCGTCAGAGTGCTCGAGCTCGATCCTAATTTCGATAAGCTGAATGAAATTTATTTCCGATTGGGGATCATCTACAAGCACCAAGGTAAATTGAAGCTGGCGCTTGAATGTTTCCAATACATTTTGAATAACCCTCCTTTTCCCCTCACTCAACCTGATGTATGGTTTCAGATTGGGCTGGTCTTGGAACAACAAAAGGATTGGAATGGCGCCAAAGAGGCCTACGAAAAGGTATTGCAAGTTAACCCTCAGCATGCCAAAGTATTACAACAATTGGGTTGTTTATACTCGCAAGCAGAATCACAACCGGCTACTCCTGGTCCGGGTCTGGCTCAAGGAGGTCAACCGTTCCAACAGGATTTGAATGTTGCTTTACAATACTTGACTCAACTGTTGGATATTGATTCAAGCGACGCTCACTCTTGGTACTACTTGGGTCGGGTGCACATGATTAGGGGTGATTTCAACGCCGCCTATGAAGCCTTTCAACAAGCAGTCAACCGTGATCTGCGGAATCCCACGTTCTGGTGCTCAATTGGTGTTCTTTACTATCAAATTTCGCAATACCGCGATGCTTTGGACGCTTACACAAGGGCAATCCGTCTCAACCCGTACATCTCGGAAGTGTGGTATGATTTGGGCACGTTATACGAAACGTGCAACAACCAGATTTCTGATGCGTTGGATGCCTACACTCAAGCTGAGCGTTTAGATCCAGGTAACCCTCACATCAAAGCTCGTTTGGAACAATTGATCAAATACCAACAAGAAGGGAACACGCACCCCCCTCAACCGCCTCCCGTGAGTCAACAACCTCGTTTGCCTCAAGGTATGGTGTTAGAGCTGAACCAACAACAACCTCAACAACAGGGCGGGGGTCCATTGCAACCTCCTCAGCAGCCGCAATTCCCTCCTCCCGCAGCGCCAGCTCAACACTCGTTGCCGCAACCTCCTCAACGACCTGCTCAACAACCTCAACCTTCTCAGCAGTCCCAACCCCATCAACCGCCCCAGCAGCCCCAACACTTGCCTAACCCCGTTGTCAACCAGAACCCTCCCCAACAACAACGACCCCAACCCCCTCAACATGCTCCTCAACCTTTGCCTCAACCAGTTGTGTCGCACCCTCCTCCTCAAGCGCAAGAACAACCGAAGGCTGAACCTCCCAAGCTTCCCGTTATTGCTGCTAAAGTGAATGAGTCGGTCCCTCAACACCAGCAACCAACCGTACTTCCCCCTGCTGGTAACCAATTGAAGCGTGAGCTTGACGATAAGGTTGATGACAAATCAGTGAAGAAGCCAATGACGAACTCAATGGCCGCTCTCATGAACGCTGCTGAAGCGGCTCAACCGACTCCTCCTCCGCAGATCCGACAACCTCCCGCTCCCGAGGCTCCGCAGCCGCTGGCTTCTGCCGTGGATCAACAAACCTCGGGTGCCCCCACTCCCACGATCCCTCCAATTGCTAACGTGGCAGCTCCTCAAGCTCCTCAAGTGCCTACCGTTGCGCCAGTCGCCCAGATTGTGTCGACGCCTTCGGCAGCACCTGTGGCGCAATCACCGTCCGTCGCTCCCTCTGCTGCTCCTAGAACTCCTGCTGCCCCCGCTGCCGCCCCCGCTGCCGCCCCGACAGCAGCTCCGGCGGTTGCTCCCTCGGTGGCCCCAGCAACTGCAGCAGCCCCCACTTCAGCCCCAGCGGCTCCCGTCGTTGCACCGGCTGCTCCGGGTACCCCTGCTGCGCCCGCCGTGCCAGCGGCTACGCTTGGAAATGAGCGAAGCAAAACTCCCAACGCTACTTCCCCTTCTCCTGCTGTGGCTCTGGCGGCGCCAGCCGCTCCAGCTGCACCCGCTGAAGCTGTAGCCAACGGGACTGGCAATACGAACGATGAAAAGCAGGAGGATGAAGAAGAAAAAGCTCAAGAGCCCGTTGAACCTCCCATGCGTAAAGTCGAAGAGGACGAAAATTATGACGATGAATAATTTGTTTATAAACCTGGATTGTATTGAATATTATTGGTTAAAGCCAGATTAGCATGTTAACGTAGTCAAAAGCCTAGCAATGATGTGGATACACCAATCATTGAGCCTGCTGTTAAGTATTAATTTAAGAAGTACGGCAATATTTACTATAAGAATGTGTGTCACTTAGTATGAACCACTTTGAAAGCTACCAGGCAATTGCTCTTCATGAAATTCATGAACCTCCTCCAAATTGGGAGAAGTATGGTCACGACACAACACTGTTAAGTTCAGCAATTGATACGCTTTGTGGTAATTTACACCCAAGGCAAGGACGTCACGAACGATCACGACTAAAACCAACCCAATGAAATTCAGCAACATCATTATCTTGTCTTCCGGGATGTGCGTCAAACGCAGGGCGATATATTTAAAAATTATCCCACCGACTTTCAGAGATACCAACGGCCACAACACTGTCCCAATCCATTTCAAGGCAACCAGACTGGGACCAACCTTCCGGGAATAATCGTAACGGATAGTAGCCCGCAACAGATAAAATGCACTCATAAACTTGAGCCTAAATAATTGGGCATAGAATCCCTCATTGGCCAACTTTGTGGTGATGGAAATCTTTCTCTTGAGGTAGTTAATCCATGTCGATAACCCTGGGGCTTTGTTAGGCATAGCTTTTTTCACCTGCTTTTGAAGTATATAGTAACGCAGAGCGAGACCACCCAAAGCATTGTTGATGTCTTCCAACTTGTCAGCATCATCTTGTGACATGGAATTGGCAATATCACGAGGTCGAACTTGAAGGGTCAAATCAAAGTACTTGTGATTGAAAGTTACCCGGTAGATCATGTCATAGATCCAACGAACAGGAATCAACATCGAAATCATATTTGTCGTTTTCCAAAGGTTGATGCCCTTGAAAAGGGTGGTGCCTTTATGCGGATTCTTGAACATATCAATGACATTGCGATATATTCCGAACGCCAATTCGTGGTTGCCCAATGACGACAAGTAGGCACTGATCATGAACTCGGTGAAAAATGCATTCCAGGGGAAGGGATTGTCAAACGAATTCCCAAATAAAACTGTTGAAATGGAGCTCAGTCGCATACGATAGAGTACGATAGGTAAAATTGGCACTCGCAGAAATTTCAAGGGGTCCACGAGACCTTTCACAAGAGCCTGCTCCAAGTTATCAATACCGTGAGTGTCATTACGTCCAAGCAACAACTGACTCAAGTTTTGATAATTCGACAGCCGGGTTCCCCGTGTGAGAAGCTGAACAATCAAATTACCTGGCACCATTGATTCCATAATCTTAAGTCCACAGGTGGTAAGGCCGACGTAGCCCATAGTCACAACCCCGGTGACCGCCAGAGTAAAGCCAAGGAATAAGCCCCCGTATTGCACAAATTTGGTGGCAAACCCCCTCACATTGGTCAACAATGAAAGGAAAGGCAGCCGCTTGAGAGAGAACACAATCTCGCTCTTGCATTGAGGACACGATGTCATTAAAAACACGTGCGACGATACGCGACGGTTCGGGGTTACTTCAAGATCCTGCTCGTCGTCTCCCGAATATCCCATGTCCATATCGATGTCGCTGTTCATGCGAGCCCATTCCATTACCCACATGGTGAGGGAGGATGTGTTCAAAGCCAGGGTATCAGAGGCCAGGGGAGCCACCCCAATGTTCAAGTCTTCATGCGTTTCCGTTGTCGGTGCCAGAGAAGCATCCGACGACTCCAGTCGCACATCGACCACCTTGATCTTATCAGTGGGGAGCGAATTGAACCATTCCAAAAGGCACTTGCGGTGGGTCACAATCAGACATTGGGCGCAGGGAGTGATGAGGTCCTGGGCATCCTTCATCGTCCCAAAGGCGGGAATGTCGGTGTCGCCTCCCAAGCACAAACAACAAGTTGCCATTGCTGCTGAGAGTGGCGGAAGCCGATTTTTGTGGGGTGCGAATCGCTGCCAGTGTCATGTGCACGGTGTAGGTGGAGGTGGAGGCGTCCGCGACCGACATGGAAATTCGAACAGCATACTATAACTACTTCTTCTGTGACTATGTTCATAACGTAGGCCCCATTTCTAAGCCGAGGGCAAAGTGGTAAAGTTTGGCATCGACAGCGCAACCTTCAGCAATCAACTTGTCCAATTCATGACGGAAGTTGTTCACCAGCACCGTGAACACGTCAATATATTCGCCATCATCCAATTTTTGTTGAGGGTTTTGGTTTTCGGGTTTGGTGAGATCAACTTCAACTTGCGCCATAACCATGGTGGCGTTAGCAAGTCCCGGGTCAGCAAACATCATGGGAGTGACCCGGATACACTTGCCACGATAGCCAGTTTCTTCGTAAAGTTCCCGTTCAGCAGTAACTTCCACCTTTTCATTGGGATCGACGAGCCCCGCGGGCATTTCGATCATCACTTTGTTAGCGGGAGGCCGGAACTGCTTGACAAGAACTACTCTTGCAGGACCATCACCTTTGAGTAACAGAAACACCAGCACGGCATCGACTCCCAGTTCGGGCTGGGTGGTTCTCACCGCCATTTCCCAGACTCGAGGGTTGCCGGCAGCATCAATGTAGTCTATTTTGCGAGTTTGAATCCACTTGCCCTGGCTCAATGGCTCAACATTGGTAACCTTAGCGTTAAAAGGGTTTGGTCTCAGCATTATATGGCGTACTCCGATGATAAGATGGTTCTGATGTAGTCCCCGACGTACAAGCATACGGGTGCGCGCACCTTTGTCGTCGATAAGGTTCCCAGATGACGTCGCAGCTTGACCAGGTCAAAAGCCAGATTCAAGACCAGCTAGTCAGCCTGGGCAACTACGACGATATCAGTCGGCAACTCAAGGTCCAGCTTTACGAGTCTGGATGGTTTGACCAGGTGCAAAAACTTGCAGTGCTGGAGTTGGGCGGGGGAAACGAAAACTTTGATCATTTATACCAGGCGATCAAGCCGCTGGCGGAAGAGTTGGTCCCGCAGCATGTGAGGGATGAGATCACTGAGAAGATCCGTCGCTACGTCGAAGAAATTGTGCAGTGAGAATATTTGATAAATCCGGATCATCTTCGACCCCAACACAGATATATATCTGACGTCATCAGGAAGCAAACGCGATCGAAATAAGTCCTGAAAAACTTTACAAGATGTATTTGCAAGAAATAAACGCGCATTCGCAAGTTAAGCCGACCTATCAATTGATGGGCATCACCGTAATTAAAAACTTTATTTCGGTAAGTTTTATTGATTGTTATGGTTGTAGACTTCTAACGATGTGTGCGCGCTCTCTATGTTCTTAGTAGTGAAAGGTGTGCATACAAGTTAGCCAATCAATCCAATTGCAAAGAAAAAATCTCAGCTTACTCAGGCGCACTAGCGGAGAAATCCATACAACCATGTTGGCGAGAAGACTCATGAACGTGGGTCGGGTGGCACCCTTCACTCGGGCCGTGGGCCTCCAATCTGCACGGTTCGTGTCCACCAGCGAACTTACTCCCAAGGTCTTAGATACCGACATGGAGTTGTTGTCGCAAAAGACCGCGTCGTCTCCCGTGGACTACGCCCTTACTTCGCTTGACGCCATTGCCAACTGGGCAAGAAAGTCCTCGTTCTGGCCCGTTACCTTCGGTTTGGCCTGTTGTGCTGTGGAAATGATGCACGTTTCCACCCCCAGATACGATCAAGATAGATTGGGGATCATTTTCAGAGCTTCTCCTCGTCAATCGGATATCATGATTGTCGCCGGTACCGTTACCAACAAGATGGCTCCTGCTTTGAGACAGGTGTACGATCAAATGCCGGACCCTAGATGGGTTATTTCCATGGGCTCGTGCGCTAACGGTGGTGGTTACTACCACTACTCATACTCGGTGGTTAGAGGCTGTGACAGAATCATTCCTGTCGATATCTACGTGCCTGGTTGCCCTCCCACTGCCGAAGCATTGATGTACGGGGTGTTCCAATTGCAAAAGAAGATGATGAAGACCAGAATCACTAGAATGTGGTGGAGAAACTAAGCCAATTGGCCGGGGTAATAGACGAGCATATTTTCATACAATAAACAGAAACGTTAATGTTTTGAGTACAGCGATTATCTAGTTTAATCACGAAATGAGGGTCAAGATTTATGCTCGCGTATAATCTATAGAATAGGGCATCTTATCGTGAAAGCTCTTTATTGTAGCGACGCAGACGAGTAAAGGCTCTTATTTGTTTCGGGATACCAACTCCTGTAGTGTTAGACAATAACGTTTGTCTTCTTTGTTTACTTCATATCACGATGGAAGACTTAGATTTCATCCCTTCGTCAAAAGAAATCATCCAGGATTCTTATAGCTGTACTGGTATTCCCTCAGCCGTGATGAATACTTGCAACTCCAAAATTATTGGAATCTGAGAGATGACATTCGATTGTCAACTGGTAAACATTGATGAGGACGTTAATTAGCTTACACTGGTTTATGATTCGAGGTGAATTCTTGCTTACACACCATATCCCCTTATGCTTGCCAAAACCAACTATTGAGGAGATTACAAATTGTAAAGTTTTCGCTTCTCGTGGAGCATTGTTACTTTCTTTCGCTTAAAGCATTTGCTTGTCGCCACCGCAGCTGGACGAAGCAAATACAAATTTTTGAAACCGCCCTACTATTATAAGGGTAGCTTTGCAATATAGTCGTGGTAGTAATCACAGCGAAGTGAATCAAGATGTTCCTGAGAAACCCGATTGTTCGTTCGGTCCTCGCCGTTTACACGTAAGACTAACGCATGATGAAGTTTTCAGCGAGATGATGCAAGTTGGCTGATAACAAGTTACTAACGATCTTGATAACCATATCTGTAGTAAACTAAAGGGCACAATAATTTGTTACTCTTAAAATTTTGAAAGTTGAACTCAAATTACACCATGTGCTAGTGCAAAACACACTGCGGCTGTATGTGTGGGGTGCTTCGAGCGTTTTCCAGATTCTTTGCCGCACGTTGACTTGCAGGTCGTGCCTCGACCAACCTACAGTTTTTGTCGGGATACACTAAACCGCCCGCCTTTAACAAGTCGCAATCTCTCATCGTTGATATCGACATCCTGCATGGTGTTTCTTCAGGGTGGCGAACACGCCCCCCCCCCCGTGGTCACACATAAAATTTTAATTTCTCGCAGAACAACACTAACCAAACATGGCTAGAACTAAGCAAACCGCGAGAAAGTCCACTGGTGGTAAGGCGCCCAGAAAGCAACTCGCCTCTAAGGCTGCCAGAAAGTCCGCCCCCGTGTCCGGTGGTGTCAAGAAGCCCCACAGATACAAGCCCGGTACCGTCGCTTTGAGAGAAATCAGAAGATTCCAAAAGTCGACTGAACTTTTGATCAGAAAGTTGCCTTTCCAAAGATTGGTCAGAGAAATCGCCCAAGACTTCAAGTCTGACTTGAGATTCCAATCTTCCGCTATTGGCGCCTTGCAAGAAGCTGTTGAAGCTTACTTGGTGTCGTTGTTCGAAGACACCAACTTGTGCGCCATCCACGCCAAGAGAGTGACCATCCAAAAGAAGGACATCCAGTTGGCGAGAAGATTGAGAGGTGAGAGAAACTAGGTTTAAGTACGCCTTTTTTGTAATGAAGTTAACGTTTTGATCTAGGATGGAATATATGTTTTATTGGGAAATTTTGTAGAATCGCCGAGTATGGCGCACGTAACGTCTATGATTGGGCGAGCAAGAAAAAAGCAATCATAACAGCCCATTATCATAACAAGACGGAAGTCACATTTTCGTGGAAATTTTATATATCTAATCTTTCTAGTTACTTGATATCATGTGCTATCATGGGCTATTTGCGATCTCGCTTGTCTTTCCGTGAATGCATGGGCAGCATGTACAATTGGGGTTGGGGACCCATGTTGCGAATATCGTCGTGCAAATGCATCGAGCCCATTTGATGGACAAGCGACAGCTCATCAAGCCCAAAGTCCTTCTCTCTAAACAAGCCGTAGCTTCCCATGGGATCGTGCATGTAGTGGGGTTGGCTGTGTAAGCCCGCCATCGGTGGAGCTATGGGACCCATGTGATGAGGGTAGCCACCAGCAGCGGCAGCGGCGGCAGCGGCAATAGCAGTGGCTGGGTCCATACCCATGGACAAAGCGGCAGCGGCTTGAATCTGAGCGGCTTGAGCCACTTGATGTTGTTGGTGTTGGAACTTTTTATTCAGAAGTGATACCCGACCCCACAGAAGACGAACTCGGTTGCCACCAATGATAAAACCTTGCATGCGCAGAATAGCTTCCTCAGCCTCTTCACGGGCCATGTATTTGATGAACCCACAATTTTTCCCGGGTGGAATTTTCACTTGTTCAATGGTACCATAGGGTTGAAATAATGCGTACAATGTAGCCTCGGTGACCTCCAGAGATAAGCCGCCCACAAACACGGTGGTGTTGTTGGGATCGACGTATGGCTGTCCGGGAGAGCTTAGTTGTTTTGGCTCCGACCATTGAGGAGGTGGAGCGGAATAATTGTACGAGTTGTACATCATATCGCGAGTAGAGTAGTGTGAGCGGCTTTGACGATGCGGTGCCTGAGAAGTTGGAGGCTGAGGAGGACCTTGCGGAGGGTATTGAGGTGGTTTGATTTGATTCCTGGGTGTTGCCAACGCCACTCGTAAGGGGCGACCTCCAAACCACACTCCGTTCATCTCAAGGAGAGCACGTTGACGCTCCAGCTCATCAGTAAACCGGACAAACCCGAAACAACGACTCTTACCCAGAACTGGATCAGTCATCACCCTTACTGTCTTGATTGAATGAGGAAAGCTCTTTTGGAAGAGTGCCAACAAATGGGCCTCCGTAGTCAGAGCACTGAGATCCCCTACAAACAATGAATACTCTGGTGATTGAATAATTGGCGCCAGCAACGTCGCTCCCAGAGCCCAATTCAACCGGTAGTATTTCTTCTGGTTATCAGGGTTATTCGGAAACAGCTGTTGGGACGGCATTGCCATATCAGGAAGCAACTGACCATTGAGAGTGAGCGCTTGTTGGGCGTCTTCGAAAGATTCAAACTCCACGAAACAATAACCCAGATGACCTTGGAACGTACCGTCGGTTTTTAGAGGGATCCGGGGCTTGATCACTTTGACACATACACGTTTGCCCAATACATGCCACCACAAGTCAATGATTCCATTTTCATCCAACCACGGGTCCAAGTCACCCATCCAAAGCGTTCGAGGCGCGTCGCCATGATGCCCAGGCTCCTTCTCGGTGGCGAGCGACGATTGCTGAGTCAGTACTGGAGGGTTGGGCACGGCATATCCTTGCAACATCTCTTGTTCTTGTTGGTGCTGCTGCAGAGCTGTGGAAGTGGTGGCAACTGGGGCAACATCGGCGGGCCCGCCGCCGGGAGCGCTCGACGTTGTCGAGCCACTGTCATCGGCATAGGACATGGCAAGGACAACGGAACTAAATGCAAAAAAAACCCAAGTGAAACAACAAAAACCCTAACTGCTCCAAATGCACAGGAACGCTTCCGCAATTGCACAACAACTTTGTCACACACGTCGTGGCAAACGATTTGAAGGGAAAAACTTGATGGAGGCCAGTGTGCGCATAGTGAGAATTCGAGTTTTAGGTAAGCGGTTCTTAGGAGCGAGATGGTGCTTAGTGATGTGATTTTAATTGCCAAAAAAGTCTGAACATCTCCTCTATCCATATGAAATAGCTGAATTCCTGAGAATGTCCACGATGATGGAGAAAGTTATCGCGAGAATTATGTCAGACTAAGATCTGTGACCTATCTTCCTGTGTGCGACCATTTTCGAGTAGTTTAGGGACGTGTTTCGTATGAAACAGATTCAAAAGTTACGTAACAACATCTTCTCGAAATAACCTAGACTCATAGTCTTGGCTTATACCTGTCGCACTCACGTGGTTGTCAATAGGGCTGTTGTTAATAGCAGGGCGTCGTCGCCAGCGCGCCCCTAGGTGTATGCGCGTCATTTCGTTCACGTAAACAAAGATAGCATTTTATGGACGGTGGCACCAGCAGCACTTCCACCGGTACTCAGGTGAAGAATTTCATTGAAAATACACCTCACGTTCTGGAGGGACGCCGACTGCAAACAAATTCGGAGTATCAACGAAGGTTGAAGTATCAAGCTAATGCCGACTTTGAAGGGAATGAACTGGTGATGGCGGGGAGCGTGCCTAACACCTTTCATCACAAAAAGGGGTCTCCTGCCAGAACCAAGGACCTGATAGGATCCGCTCTTATGGAAGAAACATCCCATGTCACCACTGATGAGCCGCCAATAACGACAAGCACCTTGAGAGGTAAACGTCTAAGTCTCCCAGATCACACTCAACAACCGCCGCCTCAATTTAATATCTCCGATAGTGTTGATCTTCCAGAAAATAGTAATGGCGGTGATAAAACTGCCGACTGGATGCCTGATGGGCTCGACGAAAAATGGGTTACTGATGATAATGTCGAAGGCGATGATGCTCGTGAGGAGACACCGCTAGATATACCTTCAGGTGAAACAATGATTAGAAATTCTGTCGAAGCCGAAATCCCTCAATGGAAGGTCGTCCAACAAGAGTTCCAAAACGGCCAGAAGGATAGATTCAACAAATTCTTTGAGGATGCCGAACCAGACGAGCTGAATCTGCTGACAATACTGGGTACCAACGATAACGGCAATTTTGGTGACCAAAACAACATTGGTCGTGGCCAGTATCAATTTCCGCCAGGGACCCAGCTGTCCCCATTGAAAGAGTCCCCAATTAAGTTATTCCAAGATGATTACAACACTTACACAAAGAACAGAATGGATGGTTGTATTCATAAATTCAAGACTAAGAAACTGGGCGAATCTCCTCAGGAATCCAACAAAGCTGCACCACAGGCCCCTGGCCCAATACCAGCGGCGCCGTTGGATAGTAAAGGTTCTGGTCCAACTCTCGAAAAGTCATCCAAGCAACCAGCAGACTATATGAAAGATGGTAACGATTTGTTGCGTCGGATACAAGGTCGAGGTTATCAAGGAAACCATAATGCTTACCCATCAATTTCCAATCTGATGACGACGGCAACACTGACTCCAAAACCAAAACGGATAACAGCTGACTTTGGGAATGATGGTGACATGCTGTGGACGTCGCTGGAATCATTTGATAACGACGATGATATTAATACCCTAAAGAAAAATAATCGTGACACGATGGCAACGATGGAAATGGTTAATGACATGAGTCATTCAAGACAAGATGATGAATACACTGATATAGAGCCGCTACCAGGGCGTCTTCAGGATGAGATAATTCACGAGGAACAAGAAGATGATGACCAATACACCAACGATTCTGCTGACTACGATCAGTACCTGGATAGTGAGATTTTTGAAGAAATACCAGCTTCAGCGCCAATAACCGCATCACAACCTTCAGCTTTCAAGACACCAGACACTGAGGATGTCGATACGAACGATCAGATTCTCAAGCGTCTTGAAATATTGGTGACCGCAATACAAGCAGCTAACTTTCCTGCCTTGACCGACACTATCGAAAAATTAGCTGTTCAAACCCAAAAAGCTGAAGCCAGCAATGGCACGGAAGTGTTGGACAATGCTGAGGTTCTGACAGAGTTTCCGCCAGCAACAAACTTTGAGGAGGTGAGCAGAATAATCCAGTTCAAGCGAAAACTGCAACTTAGCTTACGCCCTCAAAACAACCAAGGACGCGAACTAAATTTGAGCAAGGCTCATAAAGAGCGGAAAATCAAAAACATTCCCCCAGGTACGTATGCCACCAGTGTAGGTGGCATGCGTTTTGATTCATCGAGGCAACTGTGGATTGGAGCTCCTGAAGAGACAGTTTTGGATCAAATCGAAGATCTTCAGAGTGACAACGAAGTCGTTGCTCTGATGCAACCTCTGGCGATGCGAAAGCTGAGAAGACGTGCTGGAAATCTCGAAGTTCTGTTTGTTGGGGCACTCGATGAAGGTGACGTGCTGCGTGTTCTGAATGTACTGCGAGTTCTGAGCAGATTCAACCCTGAGGTAACTCGAATAAGCCAGATAGGGGACACCCTGTACGGACAAATGAGACAAGCGTTAACAAGCATACTTGGCGAAGTCTTTGCTGATCGTAACCTGTCTGGTGATTTGCAGCTGATTGAAGAAGTCGATTTGGCCTCGCATCGTTTGGAAAGTGTCAAAGAATTGAAAGGGTTTCTTCCAGGACTCAAGAAAATTAATCTCAGCAAAAATCGTTTGGTGTTTCTTGAGGGGGTGAATTCTGGCGTTAAAGAACTTGATGTTCTGGATAATATGTTGAATAACTTGACGACATTCGCCCACTTGACGAAGTTGTACCGACTCAATGCCGCCAGAAACCAAATTCTTGGTTTCAGTTGCCTCTCCACTTGTGATACGTTGCTGATTCTCAATATTTCTGGGAACAAAATCACTTCACTCAAGGGTGTAGAGCGTCTTGTGTGTTTAACTGAGCTCAATTGCCTGCATAACTCCCTTACGAATGAGGTTGACTGCTCCAAACTCAAATTACCTAACTTGATCAAATTGAATTTGCTGAACAACGAGATCACATTGGTTACTTCGATTAATGCCTTGCCGAAATTAGTGGTGCTCAATCTCAATGAAAACAAGCTCACCAAAATCACTTGTGAAACGCGGCATACCAATCTCAAGAAGTTGGAGCTTAAATTCAATCAAATGCGTATTCTCAACTTGAGGCCATATCCCCAGCTTCGCATTCTCCGCATTGATGGCAATGCACTTGGAGTCAGTGATTTTCATCGTCTTAACAACTTGGAAGAGCTTCTGGCCAAGTGTCAATCTAGTCCCAACATTGTCGACCTGGTTGTGAAAGGTGCTTGTGATGTTCGAATGCTCGATCTCTCCGGGAACCAGTTCTTCGATATTATCTATTTTTCACATAAGTCCTTTGAGAGGGGAGTGCAAGCCAATCTGTTTAAAAACTTGAATAAGCTTGTGCTTGTCGCCATGGATCTCTGCAAAATTCCGCCACTGTTCTCTAACATGTTCCCTAATGTGCGACTGCTCAACCTAAATTTTAATCGGTTGACCGATATCAGCGGGCTCAGTGAATTGCAGAATCTCAAAAAGCTTTATCTCGTGTCGAATGAAATTCGACGGGTCAAACTGGTGTGTAATGGATTAACGGGAGCCCGCAACAGCTTAAAGGTGCTTGATTTACGACTCAATCCATGCACAGTTGATATGTATCCTTATGTGTTTAGTCCCGAGGAATCAAAGGGCAACTCCAACTCCTCGACGACATACATTCGTCTTGATCGCCCTGATGACATTGACACCTTTGTGATTCACTACGATACTATCAACCGCAATGGCGAGCCAGAGTGGAACAAACGGGATGCCGAGTACATCAAGAGACTGGAAGCTAACTACACAAGGCGTAAAAAGTACGAGTTGTACATGTTGGAATTCTTCAAGCAGTTGCGGAAATTTGATGGTACCACGGTGAGTTCGACGCGACGGAAAGATTTAATGGAAGAGTATCAGCAGAATTCCATTGAAAGTTCAGGCTCTGCAACCATTAGCTAGAATTTATTTATGATACCCTAATTTTAGTAGATTTAATTTCTAGATTGAATTTAGAATAACAAACAGATATATAATTTCGTATTGTAGTTGCAGTCCACATCTCGCACTAATGCATGTTCAAAAGTCGTAGACCCAAATCTTCTTTCCGGTCGCATGGTCAGTTTCCGCACGCAGCAATTGTCATCAGGCATACTCCGATAAGACGGTGGCTCTACATGCCCTCAGCAACCTTTGCTGGGACACATCCCTTAGTAGTAATCTAACCAAGCAAATACCCTGAGAAGTACCGCCAATGATACCTCGATTTGTGTTGTCCTATCACCAAATTCTACCCCCCTTCCATCGCGGTGTGTCTCCTCACGGCCCCGCGCTGATCATCTGCTGCTCATATCGGTGAGGCGTTCGATTTATTTTCCCGCGAATTCGACGAAGAGATTTTTCCAGCTTTGATACGGGATGACTGGTGAGAGTTGGTAAGTACATGAGGTGGTATTAGGTTCCCTTCAGTCGCTAACGGTTTAGGTTGTTTATTTTTGCCGTCATTGTGAATGCGGTCAACTTGTTTGTCCAGGTGTTCTTCACCATTATGTACTCTGATCTTGAGTGTGATTACATTAACCCCATCGAACTCTGCAACAAGTTGAACCCGTACTTCTTGCCTGAAGCCGCTCTTCAAGGTTTCTTGGCTATTTTGTTCTTGGTCAATGGCTTTTGGTTCCCCTTCTTGCTCAATTTGCCCTTGTTGGCTTACAACGTCCGCAAGTTTATGAACAAAAACCATCTTTTGGATGCGACCGAGATCTTCCGTACATTGTCGAAGCATAAGAAGGAGTCATTCATGAAGTTGGGTTTCCACCTCATCATGTTTTTCTTCTATCTTTACCGTATGATCATGGCATTGGTCAAGGAAGATAGTTAGGCTGGGTTTTAATATATATTATATTTGTTTAAGGTGCTCGTTTACTTGTTGTAAAGTCCGCTTAAGCCCTCTCGTTGGATGGTAGACTTTTGTAGCATCCGCAACAGCTTGTTCCGCTCCAATGATGTGGTTAGGAGGAGTGTCATCCGCTTCCAAATTATTGAGAGCCTTCAAACCTTGGGCAATACCTTTGACTTGGTGGTAATCACGCTCAGCCGATTCAAATACCTTGGTTATGCTTGCAATATCTCGTTTAGTCGAATCCTGACTCGAACGAACCTCCGTAAGCTCTGCTCCAATATTCCGTTTTTGATTGTCGTAGGCGTAGGCTTGTTTATCAAGCAAATAATTGGTGATGTGAAGGTCGTTGAGCTCGCGGAGTCGTTTGATAAATGCTCGACGAAATTCATCATGCCAACGTTGGTCACCCCCGTCGGTAGGCGAATATTCCTGAACAAGATGTAGAAGAAGATCAATTTCCAGAGGTTGCATTGCATCGATGGTTCTCTGATTGCCACCATCAGGCCTCTCAATTGTGATTTTCTCAGGCACTACCAATGGGATAGCGGCATCATCACCTTCATTCCGTTGAGTATGAGGATTATACGTCTTGAATTGATCATAAAACAGTTGTCTTCGGGGACCTGCGGTCAGGACGGGCTTGGTGACATATGAGTCTGGTGTTGTTGACTTACTCAACAGTGTCCTCAGTCCTGCCCGGGGAATGCTTTGTGACTTTGTTGGCGTATTAAGCAGCGCCAGCGCTGCTACAGGCTCCTTTGGGTTTGACTGATCAAGTCTGGATTTCTTTGTAACCTTTTCTGAGCGACGAGACGTAAACACGGATGGTTGGTTATCATGAACATCCTGAGTGGGGGGACGACCGAGACGAGTCGTGTTTTTCTTACGGGACTGGAGGATGAAATTCCCTTTCAGAGAAGGTGGTCGAGACGATCCCTCGGCAGGTGGCAGTACATCACGCAGGCTGGCTTTGTCTTTAGAAACCATACCGCTGTTGATGATAGTGATGTTCGGACGCGTGCAGGACGCGACTTGAACGGTTTCAAGAAATACGACGAGGGAGTGAATCTTTTGATAGTTTCAAACTAACCGACGTTCAATATATCATTAGAATGTACATTTTTGATAGAGAGTTGAATTCGAGAGAAATGTTCGTGACTTCCACGAAGTTATTATACAAAAACCGACGCGAAATCCTTTGTTCAGAGATGATCTCGGACGGATTAATTTAAAGTTATGGTCACGATTTTGCTCAGGTGGTAGCACATGAGAATCGGCTATTAGATCTTGTGTATGCAAATAGTTGGGACAACACCGCGATCACGATCGTTCTTTCTGTCAGAAGCAGTCAGCTCGGCAGCATACTTTGTAATCGATACCTCCGACCAGCCATCAGGGAAGTCAGTGTGTACGGCGACTCGGTCACCAATGCGAAGGGTCAACTCGTCTCCTAGTCTTCGAGTGTAGTTGCGGATAACCACAAACTCATGAAGGTGAACGTCACGGTCCCACGCTTGAGAAGAGTCGCGTGGTTTGATGTAGTCTCTGATGATCGAAGATGGGTATCGTGTAGCCTCGCTGTCAAGGTTAGAGCTTTCAGATGTGTTGATATTGAGTTTCGGAGGTGGCGAAAACACATTTACATCTGGTTTCGCTGGGAGGTGGTTCAGTACTTGCGAAGTTGTTAAAGACGAAGTTTCGATTTGTGGATTTCTTGATGGAACCCCTCCAGAGGCTTGCATAAGAGCTCCATTCGTCGAGCCCGACTGAAGGTCACTAAAGTCTTGAATATGGACTAAGCGAGACAATCGATCTTTAACTCTCGTCAACGTCGTAATCTTAGCAGGGCTTTGCTTGATCACCACTGGTGAGGGTAAAGCAACAGTGTCGGTAAAGGGATCCCCCATGGGAAGCTTGAGCGACAGTTGTGTTTGGTTTTTCAGCGGAACGCCTCCATCGCAATATGAGGGAAGATATACCAGTTTAGGCGGATTGTCTTCGACTTTATCGCGCTGGAACCATGACTTGATAGTTTGCTGGAGCAGCCATTCTTCCCTGTATGCGTGGACGACGATTACAAGCAACAAAATCACAATCACTGCCACCGGTAGACCAATACAAAGACCAGTAATTAATGACGAGTTCGGCTCGCTTGTCCCAAAGTCAATGGGGATATCCACAGTCGACAACAGCAGTGTTTGGGCACTGCTACTGGTTACAGCACTGGTCACAGACATCAATGTTGTCGGAGACTCAAGAGTGACAGTGGTGGTTTGGGTAACGGTCATGGTGATATCGCCACCAGACGTTAGCGACAGTTGTGTGGTGAGTAATTGAAAGTTCATCGCATAGGCGAATTGAATTCCTTTCGTCACCTATTTATTTATAGTTTGTCTCCACCACATATGGTCCCACCTGGCACTCGAAACATGAGCATGCCACAAGGACTTTACCACTGTTTAAATTGATTCATTCAATAGTGGCCAAAGTGCAACAAGGAACCAAAAAGATATGGGACAGATAATTAGGGTCATTATTGGGGTTGCATTCCAAAGGTGAGCACAGCTGGCGGTGCTAATATTCTCAGTGTCTAGCTGACGATCATCGCGTCCTGGTATACGCGCTGTGGGCGGTGGACGTATCAAGATCGCGAGTGTGAAACTTAGCAGATTATGCGAACGAAATTCTGACAACAGCACAATTTGAAATCTATGAAGACGTGATATGGATAATGAGTTTATTCTCTAATTCTAGACAATTATAGAATCTAAGCTTACTCGGGTAAGATGGGACGAATGTCGTCGACCCGCTTGGGTTCATCGCACTCTTCATCGGCCAACGCGGGGTAGTAGCGGAAGTACATCAAGCCAGCAAAGATGAACCCCAACACCGAGCCAGAGATCACGTCACCAAAGTGGTGGCGGTAGTCCTGGGTTCTCAGTAAGGCGATGTAAGTGGCAATGGCAATGGGGATGAATGCGACGATGAACTTGTAAATGGGCTGGCGTTGGTTAGGTTGCATCAATTTAGCCTGGCCCAAGAGCCACAACGTCAAGAACCCAAGGCCGGCAAAGGCGATCGACGAGTGTCCCAGGGGAGTCAGCTTCATCCCCTCGACTAACACCGACTTGCCGTAAGGGGCAGTGCACACATCGACGGTGACCATGACGTTACGAGGTGTGCCCTTAGCGGCGCCGCAGCGGTCTAAGAAGTCGGGGCGGGGACGAGCGATCCAGCACTTGAGGGCGTCGGTGACGTTACCGTTGAGGGACAACGCCAAAAGAAGGCCCAACACTCCCACGCCCAATTGGTGGATAAACTTCAGGTTCCAGCCCTTAGCGCGGTATAAGCTGACCCCAGTGATGGACACAAGCGGCACAAGGAAGGCAATGGCTATACACTCGAACGCCAGCACCCGTTCGTGGTGGGTGAACGGGTGGGAGAGCGACATGTCGTTGAGGTAGAACTGGCGGGAGAACGGCGTTGCCCGTTCGCTGACCCCGAAGAAGAGGGCGATGAGTCCAGCGACACAGATCCAATCGACCCAGTAGTGTTTCAAAGGAGGGTACGCCATGGTATGGGGGAAAGGAGCACGAGAGTTTGGGGTTACGTGGGTGTAGCGGTATAGCTATATGGGCAGAGTGCGTGTCCTGCAGGTAGTCCGAGGGCCACTCACCACCAAGGTTGCTGTAACCCCACTGGCATCGACCCGCGTTTAGGGCCCTAATCGGGTCGAGGCCTGTCATCGATAACTGGTGGTGTTGTCGGGTGGTGCTGCGACCTGAGGGGTGGGGGCGTTGCCCAATCGCGGCAACCGACAATAGTCACTCATGTATGAAGTGCGGGGAGCAAGGGCCACGCGTTGGGCTAACGAAAGCCATTGCCCACGACGGCGTGGCTCAATTGCGCTGGGCGGAGCCCCTCGCTCGAGTCGTTTTCTCGGTTGTTCTCTGGAGACACCAGCCTCCGGCTGCGATGGCTCGCTCGATAAGGGTGACGCACGGTTGCAATTTCGGTTGCGAGCGCGGGGCGGCCGCTTAGCACAATAAACGGTAACGACGGCAAGATAGTGCTGGGGGGCGAGATCTCACCCTGGCCACAGCTCCGCCATTGATGTTGGTGTCAATGGCAGTGAACGTGGTTTATAGTTAATCACTTAGGCTCAATTCTGCCAGTTTGCGGTGGCGTCAATGGCCACAGTGCAAATCATTTGTGATCAGGAATATGCATGATCATAGCAACGTTACCTCGAGTATAAAACCCCTGCAGCCTCGCTGGGCTCGCCAGCATCCCCACTCATGGCGAACGATATTCTCAATCCTCTCCCGCTTAAGATCGCGACGGTGGCGTCGTTCTTGCTCCTGTTCTTTGGCGGGTTCAAGTACTTGTTGACCCCCAACCGCGACATCGGCAACGACCCGTTTGACGTCGACGAGACGCCGTTCTCGGCGCTGCCCTTCCTCTTGTTCTGGTTCTGGACGGTGTTGTACGTCGTCCAGGTCGCGTTCATCGTCCAGGCGTTTTTGCCGATGGCGGCGGGCTTCTTGCTGAGAATCCAGATTTTCGGCCTTGTGGGCTGGCACTTTGTCATCTTCAACGTGTTGCACTGGGGCTGGTTGGCGTTGTTTGCCCTGCGCCACTTTGTCCTTGCCTGGTTGGTGCTTCTCCTCAATTTCGTCAACATCTTGGTGTTGTACATTTCCCACAAAACGTTTGCCATCCGCCCGCTTGGCGCCTGGTTGCTCATCCACGTCCCCGTGACGGCGTTGCCGTTCTCGTGGTTGTTCTTCGCCATCTTCTGGAACGGGGCGGTGATGTTGCACGTCCACAAGTTCGTCGGCCGCGTCATCAGCAACGTGTTGATCTGGGACTTCTTGTTGGTCCCCGGGTTCTACCTCGCCATCTACAACGACTGGGCCATTGGCTTGTCGCTGTCGTACCTTATGTTTGCCCTTGGTGTCGGCCAAATCTTCACCAAGACGTTCGCCCTCCAGTGGATCTTTGCCTACATCATCTCGGCGTTGTTGTTCGTCGCCTCCGCCGTGGTGGCGTTCACCGGCTCTCCCGAAGTGATCGAGGAAGAATCGGCTCCGTTGTTGACTGCTTAGGTATATAACGATAATATGATGGCAGTCCCCCAAAGTGTACAACTTTATTCTGTAGTCTTTCTCGTTATTAATGAATTATAGTACAATACTAACTAGCGCAATCGGTTTCCCAATCCGGGATGGTCTAACTTTCTTAGGTTAGCCGATTACGTCCAGGGATCGACTTGGCATTGTGTAATGATAAAAGAAAGTCAGACATTACGTTGCTTTCGGGTGCTTTCGGGGTGATCCCTTAGTAAGGCACAGCCGTTCGGTAGGCTGGCTGCGACGCGCGTTCGGCGCGGATCGGACACCGCAACACTACCGAGGTGTACCGCAGTTAACATGACATTAAAAAGTAGTAATTGTAGTAGTGGTGAGTCTATTGTAGTGCCATTGCTGAATGTACTCTTGGTAAATTCCATTGATGTCGCCTGCTTATATCGGAATGTTCTCTTTCTTTTGTTCAGTTGACTTGACTACATCGCTAGGGGATTCCGTTTTCGACCATACGCCCAACAACTTGTTCCCCTCGGCAATTACCATTTTTGCCACTGGCACCTTTTGACTAAACCTAAACAGAAATTACTGCGGACACACCAAGGAAAGAAATAGTATGCTATCCCTGACAGGCACATTGGTAGTGGCAGCGTCGCGGTTGGTGTCGGGATTGTCCAGCATTCTCGGGAGGGGACTTGACCCTACCGTTTCAGCGTTAAGAAAAATGGAGCGACGCGTGGTCTACATCGGTCTCGCCTGAATATAATTGACCTCATCGGGTAACAAAACCCCACATTATGCACCTAGCGACGCGAGCGGTGGCGGAGAAATTTTAGAGTATGCCCGCACCGAAGAGGCGATTCTAGTGGATCGTATTCCCGTACGGCGCTAAGCATGCGGTTGCTAGATGACCCCGCGGGTAACGTATGTGCGGTAAACGACGGTAGAGGTATTGGTGCTTTAGGCCTTGGCGCCATTGTCCTTTGGGGCTACCCAAAAAGCAAGTTTTTACTTTTAAGGCCTATCCGAGTCATCCTGCGATGCTTCATGCACGTTCCCACAAGACATCGGAGTGCCACCTCCGATAAATACTGCCCCCCTTGCCAGTGGGGAGGGGGAGCAGGCGTGGCGGGGGTGAAACGGCCCCGGGACCGCCACCGTACGGTTTCATTTGGCTTCCGTCACCGTTCCACGGCTGACCAATTGAGGTAAATCCACCTTGAGTTCGTGGGGGAGGACGAAAGTGCCCCGTAAATAAGAAATGTGCCGTGGCAATAATGTGTGGGGTACGACCTCGCTCGCGAGTGTGACCCTAGAGTGCGGGTGGTATTGACGGAACGACGCGGAGGGGGTATCGGGTGTATGTATTGAGCTGCTGTAGACGCTAGGGGGAATTGTGGGCTTAGCCATAACGGTAGAAGTCGGAGACGCCGCCATTGTGTCCGCTGCGATCCACCCCGCACGCCCACCGGTAGTATTTGGCGTGGGCTGCGTCACGTCGCTTTGGGCGCCGCACGGGCGATTTTTCTGCGAATCTGCTGGGCGGTGACTTCAGGGTGGGCCAGTTGCGCGACGGCGGTGTAGGCGGTGAGGTGGCGGTGGTGGGCCACCAGGGCAAGCTGGTCCTGCCGCTGCAGGACGAAGATGCTCCCGTCGGTCAGGGCGTTGCCCACCCCCAAGTACTTGGAGCTGATCTCGCGCCAGTGCTGTTCCTGGCGCACCTTGTCCATGACTCGGCCTCCAAAGTTACGATCGACGATGCGCAAAAATTTTCGGAGGGCGGGCGAGAGGGGAAGTAGGGGTAGAGAGGGTGGGGTTGCGAATCTAGAGACTGCGTTTAACGAGGCGATGAGAATCTACAACCCAGCCGGAACCGGCGATCGCTGCCCCCCGCTGATAGGGCGTACCCAACGGTTTATCGCTAATCTATCGTACGAGCGCGCCGGGTATCGCTCCCAGGGGCTTATCATACACTATCTAGAGCTGATGGGCGGTGCGTAGATTAGATATACGTGACAACGGCGGCCCGCCACCCACATATTTTTTTCGTAATCGGCCCTGTGTGCACTCCAGCACCAGCTGCACCCCAGGTCTGCGATTGACCCCACTAATGTATAAAAGCACCGCCATCCCCCCGCCTGGCGAGCTACCCTCTCTCCAACTTGCCCATACCCCCCAACACATAAGAAAATGTCTAAGGTATCGGAGATCCGTGACGTGTTGCCGCCAACCCCCACCACCACTTCCGTCATCGACAGCGTCGATGTCGCCGACCTCTTCGCCGCCGCCGACAACACGCTGATGCAAATCTATAAGATGTACGCCCAGAAGCACTACGAGCCGACGTCGCTGCCGGCGCCGGCGGCGGTGCCCGAGTTTGCCTGGCGCAGCCAGCAACAACAACGGCGGCGGCTGCTGGCGAACCGGGTGGGGAAGCCCCTGGCGGCGCCGAAGCGGAAACTGCTCGAGCTGAGCGACGACTTCGACTACATCGCCCACATCCGCCGCATCTCCATGGACTACCCGGAGACGAGCCACCCCCACCCGCATACGACGACCCCACCGGCGAGCATCGACGACAATTTGTCGCGCGGCCAGCCGTCGCCGATATCGGAAGTGAGCCCGGTTACGGGAGCGCCGGCAGCACTGTCGGCAGCCCCCCGGCGCCTATTGCAGTGCACTAATTGTTTGACGCGGACGACGCCGCTTTGGCGCAAAGACGACCACGGCGAGCTCTTGTGCAATGCCTGTGGGTTATTCTATAAGCTCCACGGCGTGTTGCGCCCGATGAAGAGCCAAGAACCAGGCCAGCTGCTGGTGACGCCCGACTTGGCGCAAGTGTTGCCCACCGCGAAGCTGCTGCTACTGTTCAAGGCGCTGGCCCCGCTGGCCGCTTTCGACGCCCTCGGAACTATGGACACCAGCGTCAACCCCGCCGCGCTTGAGCTCCCGTTGGACGATGACATTTTCAACTTGCCGCCGCTCGAAGACCACTTCTGGATGGAAACGCTGTGGCTCCAATAAACCCCCCCTGTTTGTTTCGATTGCCAATTGGATGAAAGCTAAGAACCTATAGTTTTCATTACGATTTCCAGAGGCAATCCGAAATCAAACAAGATGGCTGACGTAACTTTCTCGCACTCGGGCTGGATGGAGGATGGACTCCATTACGATATTTCAGCTCGTCATATATTTACTCAACTTAATAGACAGACCCTGGTGGTGACGTTACTACTACACAGTTTAATTAATGGCCCAATTCGGCGTTTAGATCGCGGCTCTCTGATTTAGTTCGCCCCTTATCCCATTTTAACTTTGCTCCATCGCAACCATTATTTCTCTTTCAAAGGCGTTCGCTTCGGAGTACGGAGGTATCGTATTCGGCGATGAAGCCTGGTTATGGCAATCTCTATGGATTAATGTTGCGAAAACTCTTAATCAATAAAAGTTTATCGAAATTTAAGGTGTTGAAGATTTCTATGGTTGCGTAGTGGTGATGGCTGATCCTGGTCTCGCTTGTGCTTTCCGAAATTGAAAATATGAGGGAAGCTGGATTCGAACAGGCTGATTCAGTTAAAGTTCAATACGAATTAAAAAAAAAATAGAAGCTCCAGAACAATTCTATGTGAAACAAGCCTAGTCTCGCCAATCGTCCGCCTCGAGTATTAGGTGATTGAGCTAGTCTAATCACTGTGTTCGTGTGTAGGTTCGAATATTGTTACTTTTGCCAAATTCTCGCAAATAATAGAAGAACTTCCGCTTTCTTTTCTAATGTAAGAAAATTTCACAAATGCCACCGAACTGGACGTATGGTGAGTGAGAGGAGGTCAATTTCGGCACCATTCTCCGCTTGCTATGTTCTTAATTAAGCAACTGTCAAAGTGACGTGCGATGACGTCGAAGCACCGCATTAAGCCAGCGTAGAAGTAGTGAAGGGTTTCTTATAACGGCAAATAAATCAACAAGAGAGACTAGCTTTACAATGGCGTAGTCTATTCAATCAAACGGGATACTGGTCGAATGTTAGTGGTTAGGTCATTTGTGTCACAGTTGTCTCAGATTGCCTTTAAAGTCGTCAAAGCTATGGTTGTCAACGCGAATATGTGAAAAGGCGTTATTCAGCAGCCACTCAAAATTTGTTTCATTGCAATACACCATGTGGTCTTTTTCGGTGGTGGAAGCAATTGCTATGTCGACGTGGTGATGTCGTATCAATCTCGGCTAGGGTTTCTTTCGATGGCTATCAACAATAGCCCGCCGCCACAACTACCGACAATTTCATCTCCACGACGAGATTACTACTGAAACGAAGATACTGCTTTTATAGCATTTAGCCGGATGGGCTGCACCCCTCAAACATTCGTCTGTGGGAGTAATCTTTTCGGTCTAATTTCACTTGGTGCAGAATTCCGTGTCAGCTAATACATGTCGGGGAGCAGCGAACGTCGGCGTTTATGTAGGCGTCCCTGCGCCTTTTTTGAATTAACTTTCTCGAGGAAAAACGGACCTATATCAAGGCTTGGCATCGAGCATATTTAACGGATTAATCACGCCGGGTAAATGTCGTTGTCTTCTCTGGTGTCCCACAGCTAGGCCACCCAAAAACGGATGAAAATCAATATTGATTAGGCATAACTCCATTAACTCTAATTATTCATTATCACTACGCACGATTGGCTAAATGTAATAAGTGTTTGCCTTTCTCCCCATGAGCGCCTGGTGACGAACACCACAGCCGGGCTGTGTTGTAAACATCAATAGGAACGGCGCCCGCGTGGGGCCTCGGAAAACAACGCACGGGGAGGGGGTGGTTGCAGGGTCGTATAGCAATGGTTTTTTTTTTTTCTGTGTGAATTTCTGAGTGGAAAATTTCACAGGCGGTGCCACAAAGAGCAGCGTAAAGTGGGTGTAGCGTTTACGGTACAGCAAGGGTGGGGTGAAGCAGGTGTTCCGATACGGACCTGTCGAGTGCCCTGCCGCAATTAAGGTTTTGCATTGTCTGGCCATCGGCATGGAGTGTGCCATGTCAACGATGCTGTATAAGCTTATCGGAGGCTGTAGCGGCGGGGGAGGCTAAGCATCACTGCCAAGGCGTAACAACGACATTGTAGAGTAAGGTTTACTTGACAAATGCTTTAGCGATGGGGTCTAAGTGGTTCTTTTACGGGTGGCTCGGAAGGAGGTAGTAAAAGCACCAGGCTCCTACCAGCGAAAAATTGGACAGGGTAAACCGCCTGAGGGCCTCGGGAACCGCCCTAATAATAGCCACGCCCGATGACACAAATCTCCCTTCACCCCCCTCTCACCCCCCCACGCTGCATGCGCAATCGCAACCCCAACTGGGGCTGAATACAGTTGGTAACAATGTGCTTCGCGGAAGGGATCGGGATTTCGGAGGCTGCACCAGGTGGTGGTGGGAGGGGGTGGAAAGGCTGCGATATTTCCGGCGTCCGCTCCCGTAGTTTCGAGCCCTGGTAGCGCTTAATGGCTAATTGTCGCAGCATGGAAGCGACTATGTCATGTTGAAAGATAGGGGCTCGTGTGCGATAATATCCTAATTAGCACAACACAATTACACTACGAAAATTTCCACCATACTAACATCCAAATGAATAATTTAAATACCAGAACAATCAGACCAGTTCCAACTTTGCCAGATTTGCCATTTTCTCGACACAAATCATCGGGTGGCTGGTAGTTAGAGCATTGTCGATGACACATAGCTGGTGCCTGACGTCGGTGCAGGAACAACAAGCACGCTAATGGCGGCGATGACCCCCAGCTAGTCACCAACAATAACAGAGATAATACAATAGCATACAATTCAACATGTATTAACGAGAATGCAAGGTAAATTTCGTGGCTAATTCGTGTTTACTCGTCGTGGTTACTCGTTGTGGTTGTAGACGACGACGTGTTTACCAGAGGCTTGAATCGCCCTCACGTAGGTTTGCTTCAACGTCGACGGCGTCGCTTCAACGTAGGTGATGTCGTCACCGACGGAGAAGACGCCGTCGCGAAACAAGTCGACGCAGGTGTTGATTATATTGATTTTCCACTGGGGGTCAGCCAACAGCTGTTTAGTGAGCCAGAACCCAGTGGCCGTCAACGTTTTAGCGAACGCCAATCTACCTGGGTACGATACCGGCTGGCCCGAAACTACTCCGTAGGTGATCAAGATGCCTTTATCGGCCAACAAGTGCATCATCGCCTCGGTAGTCGGGCCCCCGACGGAGTCAAGGGCAAGCCGCACGTCGCCGTCGACTGTGACATCTCCATTGAGCAACTCCAGCTCGGTGACTACTTTAGTGGCGCCGTTAGCCTTCAATTGGTCGGCGACTTTGGGGTACAGACGATCGCGCACCACCAGAAGCACCTTGACTCCACTAGAACGCGCCAATTGCGCCACGTAGTGGGACACCTGGGAGTTGCCGGCATTCTGGACGATCCATTGGCCCGGGCGCCAGTCCTGGACGTGGTGGAAGAGCGCCACCGCCGTCGGCGGGTTAATCGTAAGCACTTCCGCCGCCTTGCGGCCGATGCGCTTGTCCACAGTGATAAAGGGAAGCACGCCCTCAGGCACTACGGTCGCGGCCACCAGGGTGCGCCAGGTGCCCATCCCAGGTAACGCCGGGATCACCCAGTCGCCGACCTGGTACTTGTCCAGCGTCAGCACTACCACTTCAAACAAGCCGTCGTTGCCCGGGACATTGGCGGTGGTCGACCCCAAGTCGACGACGTTGCCCAGGCGGTAGCCACCCACGATTTGCATCACGTCCAGCGGATTTACCAGCGTCGCAAGCGTGCGGGCAATAACCTGGTTCGCCTTGGTTGGCGGCGGGGTGTATTTAACTTCGGTTAATACCTGGTCGACGGGACCGTTGGTGTCGTAGCTAAGGGCGACGTCAGTCATGTTTTTATTGCAACC